CAAACGTCAACAAGGAGGAACGGCCCGGCAGCCTTGATAAGAGACTGTTAACCTTCACGCCAATGTGATCAACTTCAGAGGCGCACATAATCGCACACCGGTGGCGGCATTGACATAACACGCGCGTGCTCTGATTAGCCGAAGGGCGGGCCTTGACCCAGGATCCGGTGGAAGTGCCACTCATCAAATGCCCAGGAAAGGAAGCAGGTTGGATGCAGAGGACGTGCTCTGCATGCGTGGTAACGTTCCGGGGTCAAAGCGACTCTGCCAAGGCAAGCCAGGTCGGGGCGTTACCGATGGCGCTAAGCGGCCTGAAAGGTCGGTCCCAGCTGCTAAAAGCTGAGGCTTGCGAGGCTTGTTTCGCAACCTCGGCCGCTTGGACGCGTGCCGGATTCCAATCAAAACGTGACGCGAACGCTGATAGCGTTCTGCCGAATTGTTCACTTGGCAGTTACGGTCGCCGAACAACACCTGGTAGCCTAAACATGTCTAACATCTAGAAGTTATAACCTGTAGAGCGTCGTCCACCGACAGTTTTCTCCCACTGGCCGCCCCACCGTCATTACACACAAATCCCCATGCTCCATGATCGGCGCCGCGAACGCCGAACAGTCCGCGGCCATCGCGCGCTGGGCATCCTCGCCTACCCACGGAGACAATAAACTCCGTCTCCGATATCGTCCGTCTCCTTCGGCGAGGAGCCGCCTGACGGCCATCGACCCGCACCGCGTGGCCCGTGCGCCCCTCAACAGGACCCATTGAGACGGCCCGCCCCGTGGGAGCCCGGGTGTCCCATAGCTCGGGGGGGGGGACGCACCGAGCACGCGCGGGCGCCGCAGTTGGTGCAGGGTTCGCATGGGGAGAACACGTGAGGACCCGGCACCAGGTGAGAGGCGGACCTGCGAGCGACTTCGGGGATCTGTGCTGGTGGCTGGGATATATATATATATATATATATATATATATATATTATATATATATATGATGCTTGCATAGGTAGTTTCAAACATGCGAAAGATGAGCATCAGTAAATTTTTGCAAATTACGTGCATGGCAACACTATCAATGCTCTCTATGCGAACTAATGTACCGCCGAATAGGCGCAACCAGCACTATGCTGTTATCATTGATCGCTAACGAAAGTGGACGGTTTAAAACACTGGTGACCGGCACAGTTTCTAGTTCCCATCCGCAAAGCGCAATCAGCTCTCACGGAACACGGGGGCAGCAGCGCTGTTGCCAGAACTTGCACACGTCATGCCCGATTCCGATCGCCACATGCAACGAACGATCAGTACGAAGGCTTCGGGGCTGATGCAGTAGTGCACGGGACGTAGCAGTAGCGTGACTAGGCGGCCGTGATGTCGACAGGGCCTGCAGGCGCGTTGTTATCGCCCGGGAGGCTTTCCGAGGAGTGGAGTAACGTCTGACGAACCCTTTCACTGAATGCCGAAAAGGCAGAGCGGTCGCTGACGCTGGCACAGCTGAGTTGGCCGATTTGGTCGCTTGACCTGTTTCAGATATTGTGAAAGTCGGGCGTAATTGGAGAGGCGGGGGGGGGGGGGAGGGGGGTCACTGGACGATCGTGAACCAGGTTTCCAAATCTGTGGATGTCATTGGGAGCACGGGGAGGGTCGTCCGCTTTGCTATCACATCTATAGGCTCCAACGAGCGGCAGAGCCTCGAGTCGATGCTCAACGCATGTCCCTTCTCGCCATGCGTCGTCACCTTTGGCGTGAGGATTCCCCCGTGTCAACCACTCATCGGTCTAGGCCGCAGGCTTTGGAGAAACGACCAAACCGGCGCCCAAGCGGCCTTCAAGTCCCCCAGATACTTGGACGCCAGCTGAGTATCTGCGCCGAGTGCTAATGATGCCTTAGGAGGATAGTCCTGCCGAAAAAATGATTATTGACTTAAGCGAGCCCAAAGTTCTGGGATCATCTTCTAATTTATCCGTTATTTTTGTCTTCCTTTTACTTTTCGTGTGCATTTGCAGCTATTCATCTTAACGATGTAATAATTCTGCCAAGTGATGGCCTTGGCATGGGCCCTATGGCAGGCAGCCAGGTGGAAGCAGTCTTCTCATAACAGTTGTTAAGTCCATGTCGTTACGTAGAAAATGGAGCGCAGAAGAGGCACTGCTTCAGTTGTTCGAGATTTGCTGAGGTTAAAAAGCTGTTGTTATTTTTAACTTTGTGTTGAAATTTTTGCGTGCAAAATATTTGCTTTAAAAATAGAAATACCTATTTGAATAAGAGCGGGGCCATCCCCTTTAACCACTCCTCGAATATTGCGTTCCGAAGGCTGATGACAAAGCTTGCACTGTCCACCTTCACCTCGGTATTGGTCATGGATGTTCACTGTCTGCGGGCATGTCTTCTGCATGTAATATTACTCTAGCGATTTGCGGTCACGCGGTTAGCTATAGAACCAGCAAACTAACAGCACATCTACGTGCTAAGAATGCCTCCGTGATGAGGACTTGGTCACGACGTGCCCGTAACCGTTACGACCTGGTCATGCACTACACGACCGTCGCCAAACTGTCACCAGCGCTTCCGCGGTCACCACCCAAGCAGCTTTTGGAGCCACCTCAGCGGTAAGCGCTTGTCACGATCAACGACGGGTAGAGCGCACTTTGAACTTCATTACACAGTAGAGTGTAATGATAATAATAAATGCTGCGGGTTATCTAGGGAGAGGGGGGGGGGGGTCACACCTGCCTCCCTCCCTCCCCCAACTGGGCTCTCGGGCTCACCGGTCGGCGCGCGCTAGGCATTCCGTCCATCTGGAAAGTAAACAGGGTGTCAGCACGGTGCGCCAGGCACAGAGCCGGCCGTTGGGTGCCATTGTTCCGACCCCGCCACTCACAAAGGCCATCGACGGCAGATTGGAGCGCTTTGATGCCGGCCGGCGGAGGGCGGCATTTAAACCGAACAAACATCTGTTCAGGCTGGCCCGGCCGGCCGCCGTGCCGGCTGCGTCTCCTTGCCGACCTGCGCCCACCCGTGGCTTATTAAAAGGCTCCCGAACCCGTTCGACAGTCAATAGTCCAGGCATGGCGGCTCGGGGTGAATGGAAGCTCGTGCTGTCCGCGCGGCTGAGCTATAGCCCAGCACTGGCGGGGACAATGTGGAGCCTTTGTGCGTCTGGGGCAGGTTTGTGGAGAAAATTGCGGGGATACGAACCGTACCTTTCTGGAATCGGGTCCAACACTGGCCATTCTATGATTGCTGTTAGGGACTAATGCGCTGGAAGCCTTAATGCGTAAGGGAAGCCTGCTCTGAGCTGCCGTTTTGTCAGATGCTATTTGAACGGGAGCTCTGCCAGCGCTTTCTGATCATGGTTGACATGGTATGGAAAAATTCAGTACAAAAAGGCGTTATTTAGAACTGTACTTAATAAATGGAATAGGTGATAGCATTACAGCCCGTGAGTTCTCGTACTTGTTCATCACCTATCGGCGGGCCCCTTAGAATTGTATGTTCAGCGTGCTTACACCGAAATAAAGTGACGTAATTAAGCGATTTTTTTTGTTTGTGCCCATTCCTTTTGTGAGCTCTGCCCATGGACAAATTGGTGACCCACATAAGAGAAAAGGTATTTATTGGAAAAAGTGCCATGAAGGCCCAGCCCTGGCGGCCTCGACTTAGATCCAGGCCGGAGCAGGAACAGCCGGCAGCCACCCGTTTACAGCTTTACAGCCGGCTCCAACACACCAGCATGTGTGCGGTACCAGTGTCGTAATGGCCGCCGGGTCGTAAAGGCTGCCGGCGCCACCCTGACCGCATCTGGGGGGCCCATTACGGCTCGATTCTGGGAGCGGCGCGAGGCGGCCGGGCCGCGGCCGTGCGCTCGTTTGTCCGGCCGATCGGGCCTCATTAGACCGGTCTGTCCGGCGGCTGTAACGACCTTCTGGGACGCGGCGTCGGAGGACGCCGACCCGCCCCGCCGGTCGGGGCGTCGCGCCCCGACGTAGATGGTCGGGCCACCCGGCTCAAATCGTTTGATTGCAAACGGATGGTGTTCGCTCGAAGGCGGCCAGCCGTTGGATGGTAGGGTCAGCGCTGTGCCGGTGTGTGATGGCTTACTTTATCGGCGCCCCGCGTCGGCGTGATGGCGGTGCGCCCAGTTGGCGGGTTTTGAACATCTGGCGTGAGATCGGTCAGCTCGGCGTGCTGTACGAGCGGGAGCGAAGTTCCGCGGGGAGTGATTAAGTCGGCCACACGCTGAGAACGCCAGACGCCATTCTCTGGGGGGGGGGGGGGGGGGGCTGTCAAGGTCAGTTTCCATTTCGTTGACCGACAACTGAGGTCATCATCCACAGTGAGGTGACTGAATCGCAGTCGAGCATTATTCCTGTCTTGACCCCGAACTCAGTTGATCGGCGGCGAATCTGAAGTGTGAATCCCACCGCATCCTCACCTGTTCACAGCCCTAGCCATGGGCCGTGTGACGGTCACGAGCCCTCCTGACCCGCTCATGGCACCCGGCTGCCGCTGCGGCGGGCGTGAACGACGTTGCGCCATGTCGCCACGCGCATCACGCAACTGACCTGCGGCGGGAACGAGACAAATGCGACGCGTGAGTCGAACACTGACGCAATCCGCGCCGCGGGAGAAACGCACCGGTCGTCTTCGATCTCGTTTCGTTTCTTCAGCTGCTGCACTTTACCCCGAGAAAGCAGTGAAGGCAGAAGAGCAGCGCGGCCGTAGTGAGTGCGCAGCGCGACAGGCGACAGGCTGGAGACGGGCGCCGCCGCTCCCTATCTTCTCCGCGCGTGCTAATGCGCGTATGGCGTGACGCCGGCGTGACCGGTGGCGTGACGCTCAGGACTTGAATATGGGCTTGCCGGACAGTCACGCCATGCGGGCGTAAACAGACACAACACCTGGAGGGCGCAGACGGCAGAGTGCTTGAAGCCGGATGGTATCTCCTCAAACAGGTCGTGGCATGGCTATCGCCCGCCAGTGTGCACGACGTTTGGAACGACTCTTGTCTGTCAAGCCCATGTAGACTTTGAACGATAAGTTTCCGTGCAGCGTTAAAGTTTAGCTGCATTAGTGTCACTATTACAAATGGGCAGAACAGAATTATGGGTTTGAAATTGATAGCACACATTCCGCCTGCGATTACAGCGGCGTGGAAGAATTGCTACCGCTTTGGCCACGAAACCCAACCTGAATAGAGCGCCTTGAAAAACGCATGGTATCTAGCTATGCGCCAATCGAATTGATGGCTCAATCAGATGAAATATCGCTGAAAAATACCGCTTCGACCCCCGGTTAGCCAAACACAAATTTTCGAGCCATCTGAGTGTCACCAGTCATCAGTCAATGTTAACGCCCGCTTCTAACGATTTATCTAGGCGGCAGGTCGACCCTGGGATTTGCTCTCAGACGATTCCGAAATTCACTGACTGCCGCCACGGACGGAGGGGCGGCCCGGACTCGTCCTTCCAGCAGCTCCCGTGTGCCCAGGTTATGAATTAGACGAGAGGACACCTGCTAACACCACAAGTTTTAGGATCCCGTGAAAAATATCGTCAGGTGGTTACAGCTGTGGCGGCTGCCTGAAACGCCCTGCGACTTAAGTCTTTCGGCCGCTAATCCGACAGAGAAGGGCTCTCTCACCATTCGTGGAAGACGGCCGTGCGTCAGTTGAGACCGCACTCACTTTATCCTGGGTAGACTTTCCTGCAGGCCAGGATGAACGCAAATTTGGCAGCGGGTAGCCGGATGCAGCAAACGCAGCGTATTTCAGCGTATTTCTGCCCCGTGGCCTAGCAGAAAGACGTCGGTAATGGAACCGTTGCCATTTCCCTTCCAACCTCCGTATCTGGACCGACTTCCCCTCGCTTTGCTCCGGGCCGCCCTTGCCCCCCACAGGCTTAGCTGTGGCTTCGATTCCCCGGTCCCACAGCGTCAGCCAGGTCAGTACCCTTGCCCCTCGCCGGCAGAGCTGTGGCGTCGGTTCCCCGGTCCCACGGCGTCAGCCGGCTCGGCGCTCTGAGAGCCGGCGCTGGCAAGAAGCGAGGCTGCTGGCGCGCGCCGGCGGCCGTGGCTCGGCTAATCTAGCAGTCGGCGGCCAGAGCGCGGTGGCCGCTATCGCGAGACGGCATCGGCTCCTGCGAAGCAGCTGCACGTGCGCAGGCCGGCCACAACCCGGGCGGTGGTCCGGTGCTGACGGGGCGTTCCGGTGCTGACGAGGCGTTCCGGCGCTGGTCCATCACCGATCGGTGGCTCCGAGGATGGGAAAACCCCTCTTGGCCTGGCAGGGTCACGCGAGCGCGACCGGCCTGAGAGTTTTGGTGTGGTGAAGTCTGTATTCGCAGCGACTGCAGGCGTTTGGCGGTAAGAGATAGAAGCTTGAATTGTCGTTGACCTAAGCACCGCAGTAAGCGAGCAGGTGAGGATAGTATCCTGGCAAAGACGCTTAAGAGGGCAGGAAGGCAAAGGCTGCTGGCCACCAAATGTGGCCGGATTACAGGCGCCCAGGAGCCGTCTGAGTCCCTGGCAGGACGGGCTCACACTCTGCCACCGAAACTGGCCGGGGTCCAATACGCACGTCAGCGATATGAGGCCAGCGAAATATGCCGGTACAGGATATTAACCCATGCTCCAGGAATTCTGATACGGAAACCGAATAACCCTCTCAGTTCTTTATCTCGTTTTTTTTTACCGCGACACTGCAACATGTTTTACGCCCTGCTGTCGTGTTGCTCGGCAGACCGGCCCGACAACGATAAGCATTACGTTCCACCAGTCCTCGTACAGCAGCCATACACAGAATTTCCTGCATGTTGCAACCGACAGACAAGCGACTGCTGGCTGCTGCGACTGATGGCATTAAGATAGGACGCAAATGTGTCGGACTGTCGCGATGATGCCTTGATAATACTCTATTGTTCGAATCCGGCGTCAATTTAACAGGTTAATGAGACTCAGGTAGTTTTTCTGGCGGATGCTTTTGGAACCGGCCTGAGGAGCGGGCACTGAAAAGTCGATGTCAGTTTGGAACAGATCGCCCCGCGCGCTCACTTGCTGGCTTAGACAGTAGGCAGCCTGCGGCGCGTGCCTGCACTGAAGTCCTTTGCGCAAAAATGTCTAATGTTTGCAAATGATTGAAAAGAAAGGACGACCGTTGTTGTGTCTACTTTGAATATGGCAATTCATTCTTTTAAATTTGATCTACAGCCCTAGAAATTCCATAAACCTGCGATAATCACACAAGCTAAGCAAAGAATAGCAGCCATGTTTACATAATGTTTTATGTCATACGTGCACATCTTTCGAGACCAACCACCTTCGCCCCTCTGGTGACTTGGGGCTGAATTTGGGCGTTCTTTCTATCTTTCTGGACCGTTTACTTTCTGGACAGGAGCGCTGCAAGGCCGTCCTCTGTCTCAGGTGGTTTGCTGTTTTCTTGCGGTTTCCGTGATTGCCTGGCGGCCGACTAACTGTTCATGCTATGGCCTGCGGTGGGCGCTGTGTTGACCCGCCGCGCTCCCGTCCGTTGCAGGGCCACGATGAGCGCGGTGCGCCCCAGTCCGCTGAACGGCAGCCGCCTGCGTGAGGCTGTCCGCCAAGGTGCCGTCCTGAGTCCGCCTCTGACGCCCGTTTTCGCCGACATCGGCGCCGCGCCTCGCAGGGGTGGAGTCAGCCCCAGAGCCGGGGTGGGCCGCCGGTTCGCCTCGGACACGTGTCTGGCCGTGCTGCCGAACCGCGCGCCCGTGTACAGGCACCCGCTGAGCGCCGCGCCACCGCAGCCGCTGATCTCACCGCAGCAGCAGGCGCGTCGTCAGCAGCAGCAGCAGCAGCAGCAGCAGCAACAGCAGCAGCAGCAGCAGCAACAGCAGCAGCCGCGTGGAACTAGACGCAGGCTGTTTGACGTCAGAGACAGCGGTCAAGAGCTGGAACTGGCAGCCAACGCGTCCAAGATGAACTCCACGGAGGCGGAGAAGAACCTGTGGAAGCCGCACGTCGGTGTTAGCGAGGCCGCGGAGAAATGTTTCCCGAAGAGCAACAGCACCACGACGTGTGGTATAGAAAACGTGCGGGCGTACAGTAGTAAAGGTATTGACTTCTTCTGCCGCGTGCAGAACCTCGAGCAAAAGAGTCTCCTCGAATGCAACGCCGACTACAAGCCGGACGCGCGCAACAAGCTGCTGGGCTCGCCCACCAGCCAGCGGAGTCAAGACTCTGGCTTCTCCGACTCGGGCGAGTCCAACTATGACTCCCAGAGCGACGACCACAAGCGTGAGCGGCGCGTTCGCTTCGAGAAGCGGTCGTTCGCGCGGACTCTCTCCAAGATTATGCGCGGCGCCAGCGCGTCGGGTCGCGCGGCGAAGTGCGCGAGCGCGACCCCCCTGGCGACGCCCGCCGGCCCGCCGGCGAGCCAGGAGTCCTCGACGCTCCCCCGACCGCGGCCGCGGGCCGGCCACACGCCCAAATCGTCGCGCTTCTCGCACTCCAGCCTGCAGGTGGTGGAGGAGTACAAGCGGCTGGGCGCCGTCTCCGCCAGTTGCCAGGACCTGGCGCTGGCTGGCCGCGCCGGCCCGCTCACCTCCAGCCCCGTGCGCGCCGACCACGTGCTCGAGTGCTCGGCCATCGAGCGCGAGCTGGACTCGATCCTCGAGCGCGCCGAGCTACCCGACACGCAGCACGTGACCGTCCGGCCACGGCCCTCGCTCAACGACACCACCATCGACTTTTCGCCGCGGTCGCCGCCGGACGCGGCGGCGGTGCGCTCGGCCAGCGCCGCGACGCTGCGCCCGGGCGCGCCCGAGAGCGGCTCGGTGACGCTGCGCGCCGGCGGCCGGCAGCGGCAGCTGCAGCGGCGCTGGTCCCAGCTGGCGCCGACGGCCGGCGCCGCCACGCTGCCGCGCCGACCGCGATCCGTCTGGAGCCTGCAGGCGGCAGCCGACCTGCAGGCGCGCCGCTTCTGCAGTCTGCCCCGCGAGCAGGCGGCCCGGCCCGACCCCACCATCCGGATCGACGACGTCAGGTCAGTGGCCGTCAGGTCAGGCGGGGTCGGCGCGGGGTTAGACGCGCCAGCCCGGTGATGCCCTAACACTGTGTGGCCGAGTTTGGTCAGGGAAGGTATGTGGGTAGCTTCGTTAGAAGACGTCAGAGAGGGCTGCTCCTTATAACGAAGGCGGGTTAACATGCGATTCTACTTAGCCAACATGCTTTTTGTCAACTGCAGTCATGAGGCTTAAAACATTACATTCGTAAAACAGAGGTCATCTAAGATCTGTCGGGGGAACGCGAGGACTTGAAGGTGATCAAAACCATCACCGTCCTGTTTTGGGGCAGGTCATCATGTTCTCCAGGCTCACTTTCTTGGATGGAACAAAAGCTAACAAAAGATTGTACACAACGCACAACTACGGCCTCTGACAGGCCCGGGCCTATTGTCCATAACTTAACCAACAATCAATCAATCGTTAACAAACTGCGGCGTACCATGCTGTTCACACAGAATTTGTGAGGCAATCGGCCCCAACTATAATCGCCTCCCCGTAAAACCGGCATCACCACAGGGAGATAACCGCTCGTTGCGCAACCCCGGCCCCCTCCCCTCGCTCCGCCAGGCCCCCACCTAGCCGCATTACTGATGCCGCGCACGGGGACGCGTCGCCTAGCTGCTCACCTGCCGGCGGATGGCGTTATGTGGCGGTCAGCATGCGGTCACGACGCTATCGCCGCGCGGGCGTATCTCGGTCACGACTCGACCGGACCGCGGTTAGGGTACAGCTGAGTCGCCGCCTAAATGCGACTGCGGGACGCGGGCAGGACGTCCGCAGGGCGCAGTTAGGTCATGGCCCGGACGCCGCCCGGACCAGATCGGTCTGGACTACGGACGTCACCAGTCTCGGGCCTGGATTACAGCGCGTTCAAGGGTCCGGGCGCATTCAGGACACGCTGCGATTGGGACCCGGACTCGATCAGGACTGGACCAGAACTGGATTAGGACCCGACCAGGACTCGATCAGGAGCCGACCAGGGCTCGATTAGGACCCGATCAGGACCCGATAAGGACCCGATCAGAACCCGACCAGGAGGCGACCGAGCCGTTATCGGTTCACGTGATTACAGAGCGGGCGCTCAAGTCGCCTACAGACAGCAGTCGGGACTCGACCGCACCGTGATTAAACTCCGCAGCGGGGCTCTGCATGGAGCTCGCCCGCGTGCGCCGCGGACTGCGGTCAGTCAGGACCGGATCGGGCTGTGCCCAGCTCGCTACCGTCCCGCGGCGGGGACGCATCCGCGGCCGGCGTCCGGTCATCAGTCATCGACGGCGCCAAGGCCGCGGCCGGCCGTCTGTCGGCGCCCCGGCGGCCGAGATCGATGGCGGGAGCCGGCCGCTGTCGTGTCTCCACCTGGCCCCCGGCGGCGGCGCGGCGGGAGGGTGAAGGCGTACGCACCGGGGCTCTGAACCGGACGACCCGCGCCGAGGTGGGACAGAGACGTCCCTGGAGTGGGTGTAACGCTCCAGTCCGGAGGTCGTCTTCGAATCGGGTGACTAGGTTCGGGGAAGGGGAGAGGTGTCTCTAGACTTGGTGACATTCACCGAGATGGACGTGATGCACACCCCTGGATAACTCGCGATTGCAGTGAGTAGTGTCTTAAGTCCGGGGAATCCACGTGCTTGGATAACAGATGTGAATGTGGAATGAGTATCCCACATCGGGAGAACCCCCTGATAGATGGCAGTTAGATTTCACATTCGGGAAACCCATATGCTTCTAAGAGGCAGGTGTCCCCGAACTAGATGGGATGCGCAGGAGAGGGAGATGTCCCAAAACTTGAGTTAGACTCGTTGGCATCCGCCCTTCTCTCATCGCTCACGCTTCGTCCTAAAATCTCGCGACGCTACGTCGATCCGAGGCGAGGTTCACGGCACAAACTGTAAGTGGGCTTAAGTGACCCTTGTGCTCGACCGAGTGTTAAGCACACGCCCCTAAGAGGGTCCTTGGGCGGGAGAGGTCTAAAGATAGGTCTCCGCTGGGGACTTCCATGTGCATGCAGTATTATCTCACCTCGTCACTATCCCTTCATCCCTAAAATGGTCACGAAGAGGCGAAGGGGCTATAATCCCAATCAAACCAAGACGCATTGGAAACCAACTGATACGAATATCTGCCTCAGTATTGGTAACACGTGCTGAGGTTCAGGAGGTGTCCCTGGCCTGGGGGACCTGTGGAATCTGTGGCCTGGGTGAGACTGACATCGCTGGACGGATGACCCGTGCTGGTGATGGGGTTTAAGTAACTCAAGCTCGGGCAGCGCGCGCCAAAACAGAAGTGCCCGTGAATTGGGACCCCGCTGAGCACGGGAGTGTCTCCTTCAGTGTTGTCGGCTGATGTCTGTGGGGGAGATGCCATACGAGATGGAGTGGTATGCTAAGCATCGATATCACGCTGGGTGTGTTGTCTCTGCGGGAGACACGCATTTATAGGCGAGACCACAATGCGTAATACGCCAAACTCGACAGACAGCCTTGTGGACGATTGGCACTGGAATTCCGAGCCCGGGATTTGCGGGGGTTTTGGAAAATTCGCGGTCTAACTTCGCGTCGACCGAATTTGGGCAGCAGTAATTCGACATGCGTGCACCCGCTGCGAGATCGCTCTGGCGACCCAGAGGCTAATGACAGTTTGATGCCGGCTCTGTCGATTACCACAATCTATCACCGACCAGATGACCGTGACCAGGCTTGGAGCAATGCAGACACGTCAGCCCCATAGCCAATAGACTCTCGTGTCGTGACCGTGAACTGTGTCCAGGGACCGATAATGCGGCACGCGCGGGTGTGATGGCGGCTGTGAAAAGCTGATGGTGTGGCACGCGGCGGCTATTTCTTTCGCCTGTTTCGGTAGCTACGCTCGGCCGCACTTCGGCATGGCGCTAACCGGCCACTGCCTCGCGTTATTTATAGATCAGAGATGATCGCGTTCATGAGAGCATTCCGTTTCCTAGCAGCACTCGCCGCACAGACCGCTACGGCGAGAGGAAAGCTCTGTCGGATGATCACTCCATTCAGCGGATCGTCCCCGCCCGATTGGCGACGATCTCGGCACTTGCCCGATCACTATCCCGTGCCGCATCCGCGTCCACCCCCGATATAGGCAGCCGTGAGCAGTTTACGCCGGCCGCAGACGAGGAAAACGGCCACCTTGGGCTGATCCCCTCCGCATACCGCGCCCTCTCGCGTCCCGGATGTTTCCAGTCCGTGCGCGCGGCGAGCGTGCGCGCTGCGGCCCAATCAGAAGGCGCCGCTGACGCGACACCGGCCCGCGCACGCCCGTGCGGGCGTAGCCGCGTGCACGGCCCCGTCTGGCCGGCGCACGCGCTTGGAGGCCGCACGCGGCCGGACGGGCGGCGGCGCGGCTTCGAGTAGCGGGACATGCAAGCGTGCTTCTCGTGAAGACGTTCGCTGAAAGTGAAAAGGAAATTGCCGATTTGGGCCGCATGCTTGGTAGCAAGAGCGAGGCATTGGAAGGATTTGGCTGCCAGGCACATGATGCACAGGCCTTGAGTAAGTTAATGCTAGCTGGCCATTTTTCAAACACTAATATATGTACGCATGCATGCGCAGCGCAAGTAAACATGCCACAGGCATTTGAAATTGTCCACTGTGGTTATGTTTCAAAGTGATGCGGCATGAGTCTGCCTGGGAATCGCCAGACCAAATGGCAACATTTTTAAACGTCTTTATTAGCGAGTCACTTCAATGTTATTCGCGTAGTTTCCGCGGAAAAGACATGTCTGTCTGAGTGGAACGTATCACCGTCACTGCATTAATCACGCAGAGAACGCTTGCTTTCGCATCCAGTTACCTTGAAAATCACCTTACGATATTGGTTGGCGTCAGAAAAGCGTATTCTTTTAGACAATGGGCGATTGGAGTTCCTCTTGTCCTTGATTGGCACAGTATACGGGAAACTGACGAAGGTGAAATGACATAAGTGGTGAACAAAACGTGTCTGGGCCTCTAAGGTCTCCGCCAATGGCTTAACTGATCAGGAAGTTCCACGACTCTTAGTGCTGACCGCCAGCTAGCTAACAGGAATGGGCTGGTCTGACCGACAAATGCTTGGCTGGAAGCGGAGATCAGAGACAAGCACAGAACAACATGGCGGCACAGGATTATTCGTAGCTGGAATTGACAATTATCTCATGCTGTTGTATATGTTACATCAAGCAGTCATACATTCCACTGGGCAGTAAACCTTGTCACTGGTTCATGTAACACGTGTGCAGCGTTCAGCCGGGTGCTTAGAGGTGGAAAGGTCAGCCATTTGACTCGCTCAGTCTGCCCATGCCCAGGTATCGCGACTAGAGCGCGATTGGCACCACATGACCTGGGATGACCTCACATGAATCATTTGATCTTGCACGACCTCACCTGACGTCACGTGGCCTGATTTGACTTTAACTGATGTTACGCGACCTCACCTGACCGCTTGTAGCTCCAGCTGGCCGGAGTGATCCCGGAGTGACCCCAGCTGACCTGACCTGACCCGTGCGTGCAGGTCCCCGTCAGTGCGCCACTGGCTGCAGGAGCAGTGCTGGGAGGTGGACGTCGAATGCATGAACACGCTGCAGAGCAAGTCGGTCATCTCGGACATGTCGCACCTGCTCGCGCTGGCCGCGAGGAACGCGCGAACCAACATCCGGGACATTCAGGTCCGCGCCAAAACCGTCAGCCGGGACTTCGCCTCGCTCTTCTCGTGAGTTTACGAGTGTGTGCGCAGTGTGCAGATTGTGCAGGGTGCACTCGTTTGTCCAGATAGACAGCAGTCGTGGATGTGATGGCTCCAACTTTTTAGTCACAGATGAGAAGTCTCTCGAATCTAGCGGTGTACATTGTGGTCATCAGACCAGTTCGAACCCGACTGGCGTTGTCTTCTCTGCATAAAGGATTTGTTGCATTTCATTCGCTCACCGTTGCGCCATTTCATCCTAACGGAGTGTGTTGTGTCGTTGAACTTGCCCACAACTGTTGTATTGCCTCTCTGGCATATTGGACTCTAGTCGAGAGAACTATTGGAAAAGTCATGGCGAACTAAACCGTAGTGTTCGCCACGGCTTGCAGACACGAGAGCGAGGGATCAGAGTCGGTAACGCTTTCGTGTATACCTTTGCACAGTCGAATGGAGGAGCTGGACATCAAGGAGGTCCCTCGGATAGCGCAGACGGTCACCGAGGCGATCCAAAGCTTCGTGCGAGAGTACGTGATCTCGCATCCGGACGGTCAGGCCTCGCACGTGCAGAACCTCGACAAACTGCGCTCCCTGATGGAGAAGATGCTGGAGTACGTCAAGTCCTGCGGCCAGATGAACCGCACGTTCAAGGTCGACGATCTGGTGGAAGTGCTGGCCTCGCTAGCGCAGGCCTTCAACCACCTGGTCGATCTCATTCTCGGCGAAGAAGTTAAGGTGAGCAGCTGTGCTCCTCAATGAGGCTGGTGTGGCCACCTGACGTGCTGCCGCTGATCGTGACCGGGCATGGTGATGTCACCGGGGTGAGTTTGTTTGCCTGAGTTACGAGCGCTGACCGCGATATTTGAGCTCGGGCTGCAAATAATCCATTTGCTGCAAAATCATTCGAAAAGACGTGGGTAATGTTTTTTCTTCTCCTTTTTGCTGGGTTATCGCGTTCATCTGGCAAACGCTGTCTGCTCGATCAGTTTCCTGTTTTGAGCATAGCTTTACCGGTCACCGGCGTAGTTTTCCCAGTATTTCGCCGCGCGACGCGCCGTCTGCCGCCGAGGTCACCCGGTGACGTCAGACCGCGTGACGTCACTGCCGGCGGTGCTGACCGCGCGCCTGCGGCAGGTGATGCTGAGCTCGCTGTCGCCGGAGCGCGACGTGCTCTGCCTGAAGCTGGGCCTGCGCTCGCTGACCTCTGTCGGCCTGGACGGCGGCCGGCTGTGTCGCGTGCTGTGTGCGCACGGCGCCGTCTCGCGGCTGGTGGCGCTCGTCTCCGGCCGCCGCCGCCAGCTGCGGCCGCAGGCGCTGCGCGCGCTCGCCACCGTCTGCTGCGTCTCGCAGGGCATCAAGGCCTTCGAGAAGGTGAGCACCTGCCGCTGACGGTCGTTAGTTGACGAGAGGAGGCCCGATGTGGTGCTCGGTTGTTAGCGGCAACTGATTGTTTTTACGGTTGACATGACGACCTTCCCCCCTCCCCACACCAAACAACGAGGTGTGTAAGGTCTTTGTTATCCCACCGAGGTCATATTGCCGCCCTGCATTGGCGGAATGTTTGGTGAAGAAGTGACGCTATGATATGTCGCTTCCGTCTTCTGGAATGAAAGATTTGTTTGCTCAGCACTTAGGTAAAAGCTTACCCGCTTAGCAAACATACTTCACCCGACTCCAAGCCCTCAGCTCGGCAGCTTGTTCGCTAATAGCTGGTCTTTCCACCCTTGATGGACACTTAATCATGAAACGAGTGAAATTTCTGCTCCTCTGACGAGAACCGACAGATCTTGTCAGCTCCATGGTATTCTGGTGCCGCCTGTCGGTCTGGAGCTCAAACAATTGAGCCGCTGATAGGAAGTCTCCGGCCATCCCAGATGCAACCATCGTTTAATCCCACGGATAGATATTACATAACAACCGGTCATTATTCTGATCCATTAGCAAGAGCAGTCTGCGTCCACACCTAATTTCGGGATTTGCCATGCATATCATGACTTAATGACCTCAGAAAACCCCGACGACATGTCTGTCATACCCCGTGAAAGGAACACCAGCTCGTCGACCAGTTCACACTTGCAAAATCGATTTCAAGCCGCGGGACTAATACACTGTCACACTCAGGATCTCAGCGGAGGGACCCACAGACCACCCCTGTCGGCCCAATCCACTTGCAAGCCACCCCAGTCGGCCCGGTGTACCCAAAGGCCACCCTGGCCGGCCTGGTCCACCCACAGACCACCCGCGGTCGGCCCGACCCAGTCACAGACGACCCCGTTCGGTCCGATCCACCCATAGACTACCCCGGTCGGTCCGGTCGGCCTGGTCCACCCACCCACAGACCACCCCGGTCGGCCCGGTCCACCCACAGACTACCCCGGTCGGCCCGGTCCACCCACAGACCACCCCCGTCGGCCCGATCAAGCCGAACACTAGCAGCTTGCCGCGTGCACCACCTGTCCGCGGAAGCCCCGATCCGTTGGCCGGCCTCAGAAGCAGCGGAGGTGCGTGACCCGCTGCACACGGGCGGCCGCTCTGCCGCCCTGCCGCGCCGGGCCGCGGGAGCAGTTGGGCCGCGTCTGGCCGCCTCAGTGGCTCCCCTGATTAGCTACCAGGATCTGGCGAGCACGCACGGCGGCCGGCGCTGGTCCGGCGCCGACCGCAGCCTCCCGAGTGGCTCGCCCGGCCGGCGGCCGCGCACGAACGGGCGCGTGATCCCCGTTTTTCCGACAGCAGGTATCCTTGCGAGGCTGGCCTGCATTCCCCGGTGTGTGGTTCTCACGTATGGCCACCACCTGCACCAGCGGCCGCGCTCGTGAATGGCCCAACGAGGGATGAGTAGCCTCGTGGTGGAGAGTGGACGCGTCAGTGGCACGTCAACAAAAACGGCGCCGCACGAACGGCCTCTAGGAAGGCCTTAACCACAGTTTTACCAGCCAGCGTGCGCCTCGTTTGAGGCCGGGTCTTAGCCAGAGCCACTGAAGATTGAACGCCATACATGGCATGCTGGGGCGGGGTAATGCCTGCATTTCTGCCAGTATTTCAGCGATGTTAAATAATGTTTTGGTTATGGTGTTGGGCGACTTCATGTTGTAAACTGGGAGTTCTTTCTCTTCATTTCAGGGTGTTGGCTGTGAACGTGCACTCATGAATATGGCTGCTGTGTTTATCCGATTGGTGAAGATTTAAAATCAACTTAACATCTCTTGATCTCCGCAAATAAAAATAAATTAATTTTCACTTTGATATTAACACTTACAATCTAACTTACCCTTAACTCATCCGCATGACTCGCGCCATGCGATGCACCTGATTCGGCTACGAAAATAGCCATGGATAGTCCGTTATCATTTATTCATATAGTGATGTTAAAATTTCAAATGGTTGGGGCTCTACCTCCTCAATAGTCTAGAAAGTGACGCTGGTGTCGTGGAGCGATGACAATAGTGGAGAACATCGGGTGCTAGTGTGTGCACCGAGAAATTTGGAACACATCTGACTATCTGCTGTAAGCTTGAGCATCTGTAATGCCATTGGATTGCCGCAAAGAGCTGCTGCAAGGAGCTCTTTACAGCTCCTGGAAAGCGCTACCTGTACAGGGGCTTTGCATCTTATGTAAATGCACTTACTGCGTTTACGGAAGCTCTTATCGTAGGCTGCGTGCGCTTGTGCCTGCGTCATAATAAGATAACTGAATGCACATCTGTTTTGGCGGCACCAATGGAAGCCGATATTTGCAGCATGGGTGTTAATCGTTCATGCAGCAGAGTGATGTGTCTTAGAAGTGGCCTCTATAGCCAGATGTTGTCGCCATGCGGTGAGCTAAGGTCTCATTTTGGGACTCGCCCACTGAAAGCCGGCTACAAGAATGCAAGCTGTGTATTTCTGAGATGGGCACAGGAACAGTTTCGGTTCGACTCCCTGGCGCGTTGTTCCTCACCGCCTGCCAGTGTTCGCGTGAGCAGTGTCGTGCCCTACCATTAGCCGCTGTTGCCCTACCATTGTCTGGGCTGTTGGACATAGTCCATGGCAGCACGCCGCCAAGACATGACGCAGGACAGGACAGGTCCATGAGGCCAGGCATGATCCGGCCCGTTGTGCCACCCCCTGACCGTTCAGTGATGGGGGCAGGCCTGTCGCGACGACCAGACACTCCCCATCGAGCACGGAGGCGTGATAATGCTTGGAGCGCGACCGGGCTGCGGCATGACCGCGACCGCGACACGTGACATGGCTGACCCCGTGACCTCCCCCGGCAGGCGGACGGTCTCCGGCTGGTGACCGGGATTCTGGCGGACCCCCGCTCCACCGAGGAGGAGCGCTCCGAGTGCGCCGGCGTCATCGCGCAGGTCACCTCGCCCTGGGTGGACAGCATCCACCACGTGCGCGGCATCAGCGACCACGTGGAGGACATCATACGCGAGCTGACTGGTGAGCACGCCGCGAGCACTGGCGAGCGACGGACCGAGCTCTGGGTTCCCTCGGGTGCGGATCGGCGTAGTCTCGCCACACCGTGGCTGAGGGGAGCAAGATAGACGGGGCTGCATGGTCGGTCCGATCCACGTCTGATTAGGGTTCCACCGGTTGAACGAAGACCTGAGCAGCATGCTGCCGTTTCCCAGCTGTACGTGATGCTCTGACCAAGCGTGTTCGCTTGCACCATACGCGGCGGCTGAGCAGCGTGTCTGCACGAGCTCTGACCGGGGCGCCCGCACGCCAGGTCTGGCGGCGACCACCGACTCTGTGGAGACGCTGCTGCTGGCCTCGGCGGCGCTGGCCAACCTGACGTTCCTCAACATCGGCGCCGTCCGCCTCCTGCTGCACAACGGCGCCGCCAAGGTGTTGGTGCACGCCACGCGCAACGCCGACAACTGCTCCCTCTTCCTCAAGGATCAGGTGAGGTCGCGCGCCGTCGGACGCAGCGTCCTGTCCCTTAGGCGATGTGTGTAGCAAGGTTTCGTTTCCTCAGGTCGTGTAGCAATGTTGCAAAGACACACTCACGGGCTGACACGTAATACGGGAACTACAGCACAGCTCGCAGTCGGCGCACGATCATGCTTGACGTCATGTGATACTTTTCCTCCGCTTTGTTGGCGGGCAATCGGCACAGAAATGCTGCATCACGTTGGTATGCTTCAAGGTTGTGAGCGGAAGGCAATGCAACACCTTTGTTGCGCTCGTGCGACAATTTTTGTCAGCCCTTCCCACATCCACGCCTTCCATCTGATTCAGTGTTGCGTCATGAGGAAAGTCTTTAAGGGCTGTTGTTTCAATGTCGTGCAAAACTGGGGAGACACTTGTCATGGGGTTTTCACGGTGACGTACCGGTGTCTTGCACAGTAATGCTATCACCGCAGCATGTCGCTGTGGTCATCATTCTTTAGGGTGTTTCATTCGAGTAGGTGACTAGGCAAAACGACTTGTCCTATTGGCAGCCGAAACCAAATGTTTCACTGGGTTTATATTCGCAAAGTTGCTTTCGCGAAGTAAATATGCTAGGCTAGGCTTTCGCTATACTCCTCCCAGTTAAGTGTGGGGAGACAATGGCAGGTGGCTACATATGACATATGCGACTCACTGCATATATGTGTACTGCACATAAATTGCCGACTACATATGACATCAGAACGCGCATATCAAGGGTAACAAGGTTTCTTGGATAGTCGGCGTACAACGGCGTCCTTCGAAACAGCTGCGTATAACGGATTTTACGCTCTTAGTCAGCCCCATCAATATCATGTCTGCTGGCGAGTCAACCAAGGGTTGCTACTTCTTTTAAAGCGGCGACGAGGTTACAGTAAATCAAGTTGAACATACCCAATGTCGCCCCGGATGTGTCGCTGACAGGCTTTATAAGCTCATGTCATGTGAGCCAGCCAAATGCATCATGCATTATTACATGACGTATTATGAAAATCTACCGGGCATAAATGCATTATCTGATGTGGTATCAGACCTGCGATTTCACGTTTAGGTAGCATAACGTGACTGTAAATTAGAATACGGAAATCATGCTCTACCGTTCTGCTCACAATATGATGGCGTACATCACACTCCGCTTCCCTGTGCCCAACGTCGTAACGGAAACCACGCGTTTGTCCCCGCACAACGTACAGCACCGCGCGTGGATTGTCAGCCACCGCTCGCCGGCTAACTCGCCGCCTCCTCGCCAGGTGGCCACGATCCTGGCCAACATGGCGTCCATCACGGAGTGCCATGACGAGGTGCTGCGGAGTGGCGGGCTGCCGGCGCTGCTCTCCTTCCTCGGCGAGCACCCGCCAGCCGGCGACGCGGCCGAGCCGAGCGTGCAGGCGGCCGAGCGCGTGCAGCAGAAGGCGGCCATCGCGCTGTCGCGGCTGTGCGTGCGCCGCTCGGTGGCGCTGCAGGTGGTCGAGGGAGGCGGCCTGCAGCGCCTGGTGCAGCTTTGCCGCGACGGCACCCAGCGCAACCACTCGGACGGCGTGCTCGTCGCCTGTCTGGTGAGTCCGGGGGCGCGCACGCTTCGGCCAGCCAGCCACCACCCGTCCAGTGTCTGTTTCGTGCGCCCTGCATGTTTGGTGACAAGTGCTGGTATCCCACCACCGGAGGCGGGTCAAGCACCAGATTCTGGCAGCGACCGAGTGTGTTTGGGGGCCCAAGCTCAAAATTGGTGGTGATTGCACTAATAGCAAGCAAAAGTGTTAAACATTTGGTCGTTTCAACTTCTTAAGAGCCATGGCCTGGCCCTCCCTCTTGGATCCGCTATGGTGCATGGTCCTAGTGACCTTGCTGGTAGCCAGCACGGTAGCCTTTCTGTATAGGTGCCCGCTAGTCTATCTAATGAAACATGCAGGGGTACGTGTCTGGCAGTACACAAGATAATCCTTTAGTAGAATGCTTGGCAGCGTGTCTGATAATCCGGTAATTGCCCAGTAGCCTGATGGGAGACTTTCGTGGAAGCTTTCCTAACGGCACCATGTAATTGTTATATTGGTGGCGTTACTTCTAGACCAAATCGAAGAGAAATTGGTAGAACACTAAAGCTGAAACGTGTGATCGAAGGCGTTTTCATCGTACGTTTGTCCTTCCGTTCTGCGGTCCGAAGGTAAAGCCTCATATGTTAGTTTTTCGCCATTTTGCGCTTTTTATGTCTTTTGATATATCTACTCTCGCTGACTTGGGTTATTTAAACAATCAGTCGAAATTTTCACAGGGTCTTAACCCATTACTTTAGCTAAAAATCTGTGAAAGTTTCAACTTTTAGTTTAAATATCCGAATGCAGCATGAGAAGGCAAATCAGATGACACAAAAAAAAAACGCAAAATGGCTAGAAATGAACATATGGAATTTTAACCTTTGGACGGTGGCGTTGTTTGGTCATGTCCTGTTTCGTTAATATGTCCTTTTGGTGTTTGACACTAGCAGCACGGAAATGGTGAAGTAAAATCGAATATAACTTAAAATGGAAGGACGGCAAGCCCGCCGGCCCGTGATAGTGCCCGTGCTAACCGATTTTCGATTGTTCCAGGCGACGCTGCGCAAGATGGCGTCCGCGTGCGGTCTAGAGGTGTTCGAAAATGGCAACGGCCTGGACCTGGTGGAGCCGCGACTTCTCGAGTCGTTCCTGCTCTGCTCTTCCAAGCAAGAGAGCTACGTATAGCTTCAGACCCGCCGTCCGATTGCAAGCCCACGAGAGCTCCTAGAGTCATCAGCGGCCAAATGTTTCCAGCGGCATCTCTCGGATGTCTCGCGCCGCTGTGACCAGCGTCATCGCTCGACTTGCACCGTCTCCGTGCTGCCACCCAGAGCTGGATTGTGCTCGTCTGCCGTCGGCACGCGTACTCGTCTACGCCGTCGGCGTGCGTGCTCGTGTACCGTCGGTGTGCGTACTCGTCTACCGTCGGTGCACGCACTCGTCTGCCGTCGGCGCGCGTACTCGTCTACCGCCGGCGTGCGTGCTCGTCTACCGTCGGCGTGCGTCCTCGTCTACCGTCGGCGTGCGCACTCGTCTGCCGTCGGTTACGCCGACAGCGCCGGAAGGGTCCAGGCGCGGCTGAATCGTGTGCAACGAGACGCCTTTGTGATCGGGCGGCGAGAACTGGTGACGCCACGCTGATGCTATGAATGGCCATCGGAGCGTTGCTTTGTTGCACGTATTTGCCAGACTGCATGGCAGAAAATGACGGGGAGGATTACAACTACCTAGCCCATCTAGTCTTCCATTTCTGCTCAGCGCATCTTAGAACCGTTCAAACGTCACGCCATAGTTACAGGCGGGCGGCACTGTAGCCACTTTGTAGGATAAACTGTACTGCATCACAAAATAAAGCCTAGTCAGACCTGGTCGGTTTTTTACCAATTGACGTCGTGTGCATGTTTACAAGAAAATATCTTAGTAAATTCGTCCGCCCAGCGGGTATTTACAATGCCTCGCCAAGCCATTGCAGTTAAACTGCCGGTCAGCAAACCCAGCATGACCCTGGTCACCTGCGACTGATATCGGGCTCACACTGCATGAGCCCGAAGGGTGCGCCAGTGGCTTACTTTGTTGGTGACGCGCAGGCATGGCTGGGTCACGGTGGAAGCCTACCGAAGATGGCAGCGGTGTGCGGACTTGTAGGACTTGGTAGGACTTAGTAGGACTTGGAAACCCACGATGCCTCCCGCAAGCCCTCGTGAGTCCGGATCAGTTAGTGCCCAAAAGTGAAATCGCATGTTTTTCAGTTCTGCATTGATATTTATACAGCACGTCAGTATTATTTCGAAGGCGTAAGATAGTTTGTCCGGCGATATATCTTCCAAAAGCTATCTTTTATATCTGCACTTTCCACCATATCATTTTCTTAACCTAAAACCAGCATCGCGTTCCGCTGATGGATAACGTGGTGTCTGACTGACACCGAAAAGTGGAAAAGCTGCAGGCTGAGCATTTCAATAAGCAAGGAGTGTGCCGGCGCAACAGCAAGCTGTCTAATATATTCATCGTTCCTCAGGTAAAGTTAGTGGCGTCCCGAACCAACCGAAAGGAATCGGCATAACCGGAGGAGGGGGGGGGGGGGGGGGGAGGTGCATGAGTCTTCTCTTCACCCCAGGTCTGAGGAGAAAAATTCATGCTTGAATGACAGCTTCAGTAAGGAAGGCACGTCCTGGATCTCAACTGGTGATTTTAGCATATCGTCTTGTGCTCAATGATCGCCGTGTGTGCTAGAATTCCCAGCTTGCATTGTGCAATGTTTTGGCTGCAGCAGCGGCCCTTCCGGTCGGTAGTGTGATGTAATGATATCCTGTCTTTGACGCACCCTTCGTGACTTAAAACACTAGCAAGACGCCTTAGACGGCTAGGAACGAGCGAGGAGTTAAAGACGGGAGAGTTGCTCTTGCCATCCTGGAAATGATCCAGCAAAACTAAGCTGGTGGAGGCAAATATTTTTGATACACCCCCCCCCCCCCCACTCCAACTAATGGATATGTTAGATGCGTTTGAAATGCCACCTTTTATGACGTCAGTCAATCCAAATTCCGGTGGCTCAGTTGGTTAGAGCGCCTGTCTTCCGCTCCACCCACTCGTGGCGCGGTGGGTTCGAGTCGCTTTAGGACGCTCGCTATTTGCCCTTGACAGGTATGGCCTGCGGTCGGTGGCAGCGGTCGCGCTAAAGATCATTTGTACGTCAGAGGGCAGGACGGACCGTGCCGAGCATTGCGGCACGTTAGGCTTTCGCCACTAAGTTCTGCCGTCGCATGGAACTGCGCGATCGGGTGGTGGGGGTCAGGGCTCACACAACAAGCACTACTTAGCGTGGGCGCTGATCCCAGAAAGCCATCCATTCAAAGGGTTCGGATACAATTTATTTTAAAAATTCATAAGAAAGTTTAACCGACGTACTACTCCAACGCTACTTCAAAAATGCATTGCTTGAACGTTGGTTGGAAGCATCTTATGGATAGAAAATTATAACCAGGGTTGAAACCTATACAATCGACAAATTCATGAATTTTCTCTGGCTTATGGTTAAGGCAAACTGGCATGAACGTAGTAATAGAGGTGGGCAAGAAGGCACACACACTTCAAGGTGAGGGGCAAACAATGTCAACTGCCCGTCCCCACCCCACTTATCTAGATTAATTTGCGTTCAACTGTTTTGTTTTGTTTACTGTTTTGCTAACTTTAGTTTGCGTTTACTGTTTTGCTAACTTAAACACGCAAACATGCCGATTTAGTTGGCTCACTAGCTATGCTCCTCAAATGGTACTGAACAAAAATGCTTCAGATGGTAGATGACAACATTTTATCCAACCATTACGGCGGACGGATATATTTAGGAACGAGCTCCAGGCTGCTGCAGTACCAAAGGCTCCACTCCTGTATTTTTGCATAGCCTTTGCTCTTCTGCTTGACTGCCTAGTCCCCTCAGCATAGGTTCATGGAGCTTAACGGGACTGTCCTGCCTTTGGAGCATGTTTCAAAAACATGTTCTAGTGAAACTTCAGGACTAGCTGCGTCTAATGATAAGACTGGGTGGCATCACTGCAGCACTGTCAAGGCATAATAAAAATACCAATTTGCATCATTTTCTAGTCCAAATTACGTGGCCAACGCTTTGTAACAGCAGTACGCTTCTTCCATGCAATCGTGACCGCCGTCTTCATGACGACCGCTGTGCACCTCTACTGGTGCGAATTAAAGAACGTTTGTGATTGGCCCAGAGGGCAAGGGCCTTTTACCGAGAAGTTGGTCAGTTGAAGTCTAAACCAGTGCGTCACATGGATCATGTGATACTCTCATTCCTAAAGCCAAAGTCCGTCGCGAAGAGACCCGATGCGATAAAAGCCATTGGGGAGCATCGAAACCTCAGTATAACGTTTTGTTGAATTCGCGTGCTGATAGTCTCATGATCGCATATCTTTTGTCTACGCAGTGTTTTAGCCTTTCGTATCATTTATTGTTCAAAGATTTTGGCACATTTGCGTGCTGCTAACATTATAAACATTCGTAAAAGCAAAGCAAGCAAAACGCGTCACTTTTATAGAGGTTAGCAGAGAGCCAAATGGGATTTGTCCCGCAGGGTTCACTATTCCAAATCTAAATTCTTAGCTATTCAGGATTTCGATAAAACTAGTATCGCTGTTCAAATCTTACGCGTCTGATGTCGCAATAAGTGAAAAGTACAGAAAGGTGGGGGTGCTCCCTTGAAGTAAAACGTCGAAACTCGCAAGCGCCGCGTGTTGCCGACGTCCGGCAGTCACCATTCATTCATTCATTCATTCATTTACCCATTCATTCATGCATGCATGCATGCATTTGTTGTGGCGAGAAAAGCGAGCCGTGGTGATGATCAAATGCGTTACCCAAACTCCTCGCTTGGAAATCACACACAGCGAACGAAGAATTACTTGTAACGGGTACGATAACGGAACCCTCGAAATGCAGTAAGCTTTCAGCGACGCTCACTGCTGCGGCAAAAGAAAACTCCAATCGGCTTCGCGGAGTGTGTTTCGGAGTGACAAAAGATCCTGCCAACACGGAAACATTGCAGCAGCATCGCCAAGTGACAGTGGCAAAATTGGGGAACACGGTATTTGAAGCGGTAGCAAGCGGGGTTTTCGTTTTCTTGAACTTTTGGGAGCACAACAACGCTCCAACTGCAGTGGAAATCTCGAGAGCAATATTTGAACTTCTCTTGTAGTCAGCACATCACACGCGGTTCTCCTTAAGCATCCCGGTAGTCTAAGGTTCGAATCGGCCAGCGAATCCCATGAATGGTGTTGAATGCGTCCCGAAAAAATGCACACACAAAACGCCATTGACACTCCGTCTCTTGGCGAAACAAGCATGCAACCACTTGTCAATATCCAATGCTACTAGATCAGAAACGGCTATGCCCAGTGTATGCTCGGCAAAGACGGGCATTATGCGTCGGATTGAGGTAATCCCACACGCATAAGCGTTTAAGTGCATTTGCGAGGAATAGTATGTATGTAAATAAGACAATGCCAATAGCATTATTCCTTATAGAATATCCAAGAGAATGGAAAGATGGATGTATTGATGTTTTGGCTGCCTGTCTTTATCGAAATGAATATCGGCAGCAAATAAAACATTTCCTACCGATCCTAGTGGATCATTCAAGTTCTATTTAAAAGCAAGCCACAATTTTTGCAGGTCACCAACATTCAGAGGGTTCAAGCGGGGCAACTGCCAGCCATTACTATGACACAGTGCATGCCTATCTTAGAATTAAAATACGCGAAGTATACGTGTACATGGGAAGGAATTCAAGTAAACAGGCATTACGCATCACGTATCATTCATGCATACAAGCGATTTCAGGTAAACAATTTCAAGGAAACAAGCATCACACATCACGCATCGCTTATGCATGCAAACGATTTCAGTTAAACGGGCATCGCCCATCACGTGTCAGGTGTCACTCATGCATGAACATGATTTTAAGCTAGAACGCATCACACATCAAGACACTCATCACACTCACATAGTCAGGCATGATGAACCCTGTACGTTTAATTAAGGGCTGGTCACCGACTTCTCGTAAGAATAGGTTCTTTCATTTTCCTGTCTGAATGGGCCTGTACTCTGTAGATGACTTTGAGACCTAACTGAGCTATAAGGTTGGTGCCTCCCTGGATTCCAGCCGGAGCGCGTTTTGTCCAAAAATGGTCACCGAAAGGGGTATTCTGTTTTGTTTTTAGTGTGTCCCCGGTACTCATTATATCTCGAACGAATAGGGCGCATGCACTCCCCGACATAGACTATGCCCTTCAAATAATTGTCACATAGTTCACACTTAATTTGTGAAACACGTGGAGTATGGGTGGTGGGAAACGGAAGTACGCCCTGTCGGACAACGGGTTCTTAACATTACCTCACAAAGGTAAGCATTTGCTTTGGAAAATAAAACAACATATCAATAGAAAAAGAAACTCGGCATACGCAGTGAAGAAGCGACAATAAGCTAAAACAGCCTCTGGTGAAATATTCTATCTTGAAGCCCAAATGCACTGGAGGCAATATGTGTCATTTATGTAAGTCTGCGTTTCAAGGGTTTGCACAAAAATGTGGTTTAAGAAATTAAGTGTTAACTGTAGGAAAAGCGTGGGAGGGACAAAGTCTATGTCGGGGAGTCCATGCGCCCTAGTCGTTTGAGATGTGATAAGCACATGTGATGCGCTAAAAACAAAACAGAGAATACGTGCGGACGCTACCCGTTTTAAATCTCATTCATCTATGGAGCACAGGACCACCCTGATAGGAAAATGAAAAGACGTTTTCTTGTAAGAAGTCGTTGACCAGACCTTAACGTACGGGGCTCATCATGGCTAAGAACACGAGTGTGATGAGTGTCTTGATGTGTGATGTGTGCTAGCTTAAAATCATGTTCATGTATGAGTGACGCCTGACACGTGATACACGATGCCCGTTTAATTGAAATCGTTTGCATGCATAAGCGATGCGTGATGTGTGATGCTTGTTTCCTTGCAATCGTGTACTTGAAATCGCTTGCATATATGAATGATTCGTGATGCATGATACCTGTTCATCTGGGTTTCTTCCGAATGATACGTATATTTCGCGCATTTTAATTCTTAATTACACATGCACCGTGGCATAGTAATGACTGGCAGGTGTCCTTCTTTAATCGTCTGAACGTTGGTGACCTGTAAAAAATGTGGCCCGCTGTTAAAAATCTAGAAAATCCAGTAGGATCGGAAGGAAAATTTCAATTTCATACTGATATTCGTTTCGCCGCAGGCATGTAGCCGAAGTATCAGTTATATCCATCTCTCCATTCTCTTCGATATTTTCGGGGAGTAAAGGTATTATTACTGCCTAACTTAACATATATGCAATGATTATATATCTACAAATTAACGGTTTATTCCGGCCGGTAAACGCTCGAGTTTGACAGAAGGGAACCGTCACAAAACAAAATAACCGTCGTAGCTGCACTATTCATAAAATTGGTGAGTGTGTGCTTAAAAGACAGCGTTGAATCGTTGACGCTGGGTGTCCAGAACTCCTTTGACCATGCTATTATGCGTTCCGCTAAAGTAGTCACGCAATGAGGCCATTTCTGGCGGTGCACGAATTTGAGCCATCTTGTACTGGCGTTTGCTTTGCTTTACAGGTTGATTCGATCCATTACAATTTTGAAATCATGATTCTACCTCAAAGACACCCCAATTGATGTAGAAAATGAGAAATTAGACCACTCAACCTAAAGGAATGCGATGGAGACTTGGATGCGTATATTTGACCATTTTGTGCCTTAGACGCAAATCAAAATTAGTCAGTACAAAACTGCGAGTAAATTTGCCCTCCCGTGCTTCCCACCCCCTTATCTGCGGTCTCTGCTTTGGGGGCAAACTGCAGTCATTGTGCCTTCTCTGTACGTGGTACGTTATTCATGAGTACTTTTCCATACCAACTTTTAGCAATAAAGATCATTTTCCATACGTAATTTATGCATTTTGCACGCACATTGCGAATTGCGTGCGAGCCGTTGCATGCAAACTTTTGCTATGCAGATTTTATACCTCGTCTGCGTTTGTTCACAAACAATTGCGTACGCACTTTATGCATACGCAGTGTTCCATGTGCATTTGTTTTCTTAAAACCATATTTATGACCGAAAGCCTTACAGATGGCGCCAAAGCTACCGCTGCATAATAGATGGCGCTACAACTAGGAGCCAACAATCTTCGACACGACAGCTGATTGCGGTGTCGCGTGTTATGTGTTGATTTGGGGTGGGGGTCGCTGGGTATGTTTGACGTTTAATTGAGTGGTGGCTGCTTGTTGGAAACCATAACTTTGTAAACGTAGTACACAGGTACCTGTGGAAAGGTTTGTCCATACTTAGTGTCAGCATGCGTTCATTTTGGTGCCTCATCGGGGGACGTTCGTGCGCCATGTCGTGTAGTGCCCGCTGCTTGATCGGGATACGTCCCTCCGACTACCTTTTCGTGATTTCTTTAAATGCCTAGTGCTGTTGCAGTGCGTGCATGTGCAGAGTTATTGACTAGGGATGTGACTACACCACAATAAATAAGTCTTGGATACATCTGGCATGGCCCATACATTTTCATACATGCTTGCAGTATTGCGGGAAATGACCCACTGTGCATAGGTCCAAATTTGAATGTTTTTCCTTTGAAAAAAATATGAGACTGTATTTAGTGATATAGGCTCAGTTGCCTGCAACACATATTTGAAAGTGTCCCTTACAGGCATTGCAATAGTGTTAGGACCCTGATCCATGCATGTTTATAAATAACCCTTATCTGTTGCTGAACATGTCATATTTTAATTGCCTAGAGGGCATGTGATTAGGTCTGCATCTGTGCAATTAATTCTGTCTCTGACTCACAACTTATGCAGTTATTATTTCTACCATAATCCCAACCAGCACAACACAGTCTTGGGTCTTGGCTGATTCAGCCTTAATATATTAGGCCTGATCTGGCTTTGAGTCCTTGAGCAGGTATGTTTAGGGATGAACTCAGATGGACTGATCATCTCCAGAGTAGTTTAAAATCTTATGTGTGAGATACATGGATTAAGGGATATATTTGTCCGAGATGTAAAGCAAGTGGTCATCACTGCCATCTTTGTCCACAGAAATTCTGATAGAATTGAATTCCAAAACAGTTTGGAATCAAATGATCGCTGAGTTGCACAGATTAGAGTATACATTTGTCCTATAAGAGATAAAGCAAGCATTCATGATTCTAGTTGCTACCTCTATTAGCTCCAAAAAACTGATGCCAATTGTTGTACACATTCAGATTTGGGATGACCATTGCCTATTAGCTTTACAATGCGATCACAAATTCATTTCACCCTTATTCACTCTCACTCAAATGTATTTGCAGGACAGATTCTACATCAACTAAATGAACATCTTCCTTATTCTGGGGTTGTATCTGATTGTACTCAATGTTGAGCATGAAGTCAACAGTGATCGATGTTATGCAGTGACACTCGGATGCTCGATTGAAGTTCTCACCTTACATTCCTTTCAGGTCTAATATGTGTTTTGTTGTTGTTTTGTGTTAGACATTCCATTGTGTGCTTGGAAAATATGTGCATGGGTACCTCAGTTCGTCCACTACCATCACATGCAGCTTTGGTGTTGATGTGCACTTTATCTTAAACATGACATGCAATATAACATAGCCAACTCACATAATGAAGCAATCAAGTGTGGTGTCACCATTATCTTTGCAGTGGCAAAATGTTAAGGGTTCAAGGCTTATAGAAAGCTTGCTCAGATTTCAGGGTGGTTTTCCTTTGTCTTGTTCATCTCTGCTTGTTTGGCTCTGTGTTTTGTCTGTGTGCCCCTTATGCAATGCCTGCATGCCACCTCATCCTGGTTAAAATATACCTTGTATGCTACTTATTGACCAGAATTTGAACAATGAACTTCCCTGGGAACATCAAGGCATGAATGAACAGCTTGCACTGGGCCATGCACTGGAGGTATGATTGGCCAAGGCCTCATGGGCTTTGTAGGTTAGTGAGGCTTTTGTGATTATGGGCGAAGTTGCCCCTTTGAAATACCTTCATTTTTACCCAGGCAACCTGGACCCCCTCTCCAGTCCTTTCTGTAAATATTTTTATGGGCATCTTTGGCTTACCTGCTACCTGACACTAATTGGAAACCTGCTGTGCTATATCAGCTGACACGTACCCATCGTCACAAATTTACGAGGTCCGAAACATGTTATGACAGGTTTTGTGATCTGAAAATCGGATTTGTTAACATGCTGTGGTATAATGCGAGGTTTTGCTCCTCAGCCCAGAAAACCAAACCGAAAAATCTAACGCAGGGAGTCTTCATGCAGCTCTCAGTAACTGCCCGTAACGCGTCTAAAACTTGAAAGGTCGAAAACGAAACTTCGTGATGTTCGACGATTTTTGAAGTCACCAAACATCAGCAACATCCTTATTCATGAGCTGTTTCATTCCTGACCCTGGCAGGTGATCCAGCTGCATCGCGACGCGCTGATCGCCGCTGGGTAGCAGCGCCACCTAGTCACCATGGCCGAGGCGGCCCCCGAGCCGGGCGACGCCGACAGCATCGGAGAGTACTCGGGCTCATTCGACTCGGACTCGTCAGAGGAACCGCAGGACGAGCCGCATCTCAAGTACGAGCGCATGGGGTCAGACCTGGCGCTGCTGCTAGCCGAAGAGCCGGCCACGTGCCTCTGCGTGCACCCCAAGCTCGTGCTGGTCGGCACGGGCCCAGGCCGCGTGCACGTGTTTGACCACTTGGGGAACCGCGTGCGGCCGGCGCGGCAGCCGCACACGCTCTGCGTGAACCAGATCAGCGCCGACGACGCCGGGGAGTTCGTGGCAAGCTGCTCCGACGACGGCTCCGTTTGCGTGCACGGCCTGTACTCGCGCGACAACAGCCACAGCCTGGCGTTCGATGCTCCCGTCAAGGCGGTAGCCCTGGACCCAGGGTACGCTCGCGCCGGCGGCGGCCGCCGCTTCGCCGTCGGCGACAGCCGCGTGGTGCTGCACGAAAAGACGTTCCTGGCGCGCCTGCGGCCGACCGTGGTGCATGAGGGCGACGGCACGGTGCAGACGCTGAGCTGGCGCGGCCCGCTGCTCGCCTGGGCGTCGGACGGCGGCGTGCGCGTGTACCACACAGAGCTGCGCCGCGTCATCAGCCTGATCCGCTGCGACGCCGGCGAACGGCCGGGCAACCACCGCTGCCACCTGTTCTGGCGCGGCCCGCGCCACCTGCTGGTCGGCTGGCGGCGCTCCGTGCAGATGGCGGTGGTGCGCGAGCCGCGCGCCGCCACCGATGCCGCCGCCGCCGCCGCCGCGCACATGGAGATCACGCACATCTTCCACACCGAGTTCCTCGTGTGCGGGCTGGCGGCGTGCGGCGATGAGCTGGTGTTGTTGACGCAGAGCGAGACCGGCGCAGGGCCGCGGCCGCGACCGCAGGTGCGCGTCATCCGCCCACTGCCTGAGGACTACCAGGAGCTCTCCACCGACGAGCTGACAGTGCGCGGCTTCCAGAACTTCTCGTCCAACCAGTACCGGCTCGACTGCCTGCCGGACGAGGGTGCATTCTTCGTGCTGGCGCCGAGCGACGTGATCGTGGCGCGGCCGCGCGACACGGACGACCACCTCGACTGGCTGCTGGAACACGGCCGCTTCGAGGAGGCGCTGCACCAGCTGCAGGCGGCCGGGCTGGCCGTGCGCCGGCACTGCCTGCAGGACGTCGGCCGCAAGTACCTGGACAGCCTGCTGCAGGAGGAGCGCTATGAGCTGGCCGCCTCGCTCTGTCACTCGATCTTTGGCCGTAGCCGCGCACTTTGGGAGGAGGAGGTGTACCGGTTCGCGGCGCTGCGCCAGCTCAAGGCCATCAGCGGCTACCTGCCGCGCGGCGACTTCAGGCTCGACTCGACCGTCTACGAGATGGTGCTGTACAACTTCATGCGCACGGACCAGGACGAGTTCCTGCGGCTGGTGCGCGAGTGGTCGCCGAGCCTGTACCACTGCGGCGCCGTGGTGAACGCGGCGCTCGAGCAGCTACTCCACGACGCCGACAACCCGCGCCTGCTGCAGGCGCTCGGCTTGCTCTACACGCACCAGGGCCGCCACGACAAGGCACTCGCCATCTACCTGAAGCTGGGCCACGCGGGCGTGTTCGAGCTGGTGGCGAGGCACGGCCTGCACGCGGCCGTGGCCGACCGCGCGGCGGCGCTGGCGCGCGTCGATGAGGCGCGCACCGTCGAGCTGCTCACCGACCGGCCCGACCAGGCGCCGCCCGAGCGCGTCGTGGCCGACCTGGAGGCGGCGCCGGCCACGCTCTACCGCTACCTGTGGCGGCTGCACCAGCGGCACCGCGAGTTGAGCGGCAAGTACCATGACCGCCTGGTGGAGCTGCTCGCGGACTACGAGCGCGGACGGCTGCTCGAGTTCCTGCGCGGCAGCGACGAGTACTCGCTGCAGCGCGCGCTGCACGTGTGCCAGACACGATCGCTGATCGGCGAGACGGTCTACTTGCTCGGCCGGACAGGCGCGACGCGCGAGGCGCTGCAGCTCATCATGAGCCAGCTGGCGGACATCCGCAAGGCCATCGCCTTCTGCAAGGAGCACGACGACGCCGAGCTGTGGGACGACCTGATCGCCTACTGCCTCGACCAGCCGGCCATGGTGAAGGAGCTGCTGCTCAACATTGGCACGCACGTGGACCCGCGTCGCCTCGTGCGCCGCATCGACAACGGCCTGGCCATCCCGGGCCTGCGCGACGCGCTCGTCCAGATCCTCCACGACTACAAGGTGCAGCTGGACCTGCAGGAAAACTGCCGGCGCATCTTGGTCAGCGACTGCTTCCTGCTGCACGCGAGGCGGCGGCAGTGCGGCGCGCGTGCCGTGCCCGTGCCGGCGGCGGCCGCGTGCTGCCTATGCCGCGGCCCGCTGCTGCAGCGCGATCCGGCCAAGGTGGTCGACCTGGTGGTGTTCCACTGCCGCCACGGCTTCCATCGCGCCTGCCTGCCGGCCGGCCGGCCCGACTGCTGTCTCGTGTGCCGCAATGAGCCGCGCGCGGGCTTTCGCTGAGGCCTCTGCCGGCGTCCGCGTCTCCAGAGGCCCCCGGCGGCCGCACCGGATCGCGTGACGCCAGAGCAGACGTTTGCAGTTGGATGTGATAACGTGGGCTCTGCGTGACAGCGGGGCTTGTTCAGGGCAACGAGCGTGTGCGCACGAATGGCGTCGTAAGTAGCACGTGGGCGTCATGTGTCCGTGTCGATGAGAAAACACGAGCGACGCGTATTGCAGCTGAGGGAGTGAAAACTGCTGGGCACATACACATTACTCGCTATTCCAGAAATATTGATCGGAATTGTTTCATACCACATTCAGCCGCTTCCACTCGCTGGTATGCTGCAGATATGGCCGAGCTTGAGTGGAACGCGGATCGGTAGTCGTACATGCATTATTATTGTGGGGTGTAGCGAGCTTGGCTACTGAGCTAGAACATTTATTATGAACTACAGTGAGCGTACACTTAAATGCGTGCCCGTTTGTGCATACATTTTGTTGATAACCAATCCATGTATATTAAACGTCCTTCCGATCTATGTTGTTTTAGGGCGCCCCGACTGATATGGTCGTGCAGCCTCTCCTGTCCGTTCTTGCATCACCGCTTGTTCACTAGTGTTGGGCATCCCGTGGGCGTAGATGCAACACGGCAGCCCCCCCCCCCCCCCCCGCTATTCGGCGAATATTCCCCGCATGGCTTTGGTTGGAGAAGACGAGGCAAAGCAGCCATTGTTCATATTCACGACGCAGCTCAGAAAGCATTGCGTGCATTTTGTTTGCGTCAGTTGCTTTTTGGCAGTCCAGACCCATGCAAAACTCGATAGCGTCTGGAGCCATGAGGAAAACATTGGGTGGAGCCCCGACCTCGGGTGACACTAGAATCCACCGGGTGCAACACCGCCCCGTTACTGCTTGAGACGACGGCGTGGTCCAAGCCGGCCACCCGAGATCCGACGGGTGGGCCACAATCGCGGCCGGGTGGACCATAGGCCGCGCTCGAGCGTCCACTCCATCTCCCAGTAGCATCACTCAGCAATCTCACCCGTCTTTCCTGTCGGCGTTCGGCGACGCAGGCGGTGTCTGAAAGCCCACGAGAGCTCCCGTCAGCGACGCCGCTGGTTTGGATCGTCTGGTACTTTGTTTATCTGTAGGAGGGAGAGACCCCCCTACATCTATGGACATCTTAACTCGACTGGTTAGCAAGACAGCTTTTATGGCTAAATGACCTGTTTTCCCAGGCCTCATAGAGGTCGGCCTTAGTTTCATTACTATACCTATGCTAGATGGGGATGGGCATATTCCGATAAAACTCATCGATCCCAGTTCTGAATTCGTTCAGTGAGGATGCACATGTAATGTGCTGAAGCGGTGTGCTTCAGTCATTGACCGCTTGGGTGCTCCATGTGGTGTGCACGGACCAATGATAGTTCCTGGGACATCATGACCCTCTGCAAGTGTCTCTGGTGATAAAGGTCCCGAAAGAACTTGTTCTCAAAAGTATATGTTGAGAGTATCACGGAACAGGACCAGGTGCCCCCTATATCCTATGTAATTTCAAGAATATTGCCTGGGGGGACCACAGCCTATTCTCATATAGCAGTCTGCCTGCATGCTACCTGCAAGCCCTATTCACTGAGCTTGTTTAAAAAACATTTTACAGAGACAATCACAGGTTTAATGTGGCATACATATGGAAAAGGGAGTAAAAACACTGGGGAAAGTTGAACTTGTCAATGTGGTGAACAGAATGCATGAAGTGACTGATTTTTTACACAAACTATACAATTTGGTGCACATTGATTTCCTTGCAGAATTATATGTTGTCCTGGACCTAACCTTTAACATGGCATGTGTGTCCAACATCCAAATGGTACACAACTATCATGTATTGAAAAAGCATAGCAGCAGCTCTTCTTCTTGGCCCAGCAATCTTGATAATTCCAACTTGTTTTTTAAGACAGCATGGAAGAGTCAGCTCCCTTGCTGCAATCTGAATGCTTCAGCTTTATTCTGCAAAAAGAAATTGTGTGGCATTACAGACACATACACATAGGAACAGACACTTCAATGACATTGTTTTGTGCACCATTTGCAATAGTAACTGTAGATACCTACTGTGCACACCCAATGCTAAAAATGGCAGGCATCATAATACACATGATAATGATGATTTGAGCTTTGTGGTATGTTAACTTTAATAGCCATATGGTACCATTTCTAATTTGCATGAAATGCAGCGGACCACAAGCTGGACATCTGCTTGTCTCCAATGGCAAGCAACTATATGGTGGTAGAACTAACTGCTGTTAAAAGAATGGTGAGTGAGTGCAAACTGTAACCACTACCTGAACTAAAAGCATATCATTCTGAAAAGACACTGCATCATAAACATTTCCTTTATTAGCTTCCATTTCTAGTGGAAACATACACACCATACCTTCACTTCCTCTGCTATCCTGCTGGTGAGATCACTCAGACGCACCAATGCTTCACGCAGAACTTCGACTGCTGGTTTTTTGTAAGTCTGAATGCGGAGATGTACTTCACGTTGTGAAGGATTTGGAATTGTGTACCCACAGAACTGAACATCCTTATCTTTCATCAAAATCCATCGCAAGGAATTCCCAAAGGTATGATCTTCCCCATGCAGAATGAAAGTCTTATTTCTATCATCATCCCTGTCATCGGCTGATATCTCTATCAGACTGGCTTCCTTGTTACTGGTATTGGCGCTTTCAGTAGAACTGAATTCCATTTTTGGAGCTCCTTTTTTGTTCTAGCCAATGAAAGCCCCCGTAGCCCACACCGCGTTATTTTCAATCAACTGATGTCTTCACGCACGCGGAGGGGCAGCGTGAGATTTACGGTTGTCTATTCGTCCCAGCTCAGCCATAAGCGCAACAATCAATATGGTAAGACCTGGTCATTACGGAAATACTTATGACGAAATACCTTAAATAAGATATATGGTATAGTTTTGGGGTCTTAAATGATTTTAATATTACTTTTAACCCATTAATCTGATATTTTTACGTATCTTAAATATGACATGGGGCTCATGTTTTTGATATTTTGAACTATTACATGCGTCATGCTTTTGGCTGTGACGCACGTATTTGGTTGTGGAATGCAAGATCGCAAAATTACGGCTGTAGCGGACAATGGAGTGCGCAGAACGGGATGGCAACATCTGAATTGACCTAAGGTCACCATGTTTGGGAGGGAACAAGATACCGACCATGGCACATCGATTTAAGGTTTGATTCTGATTGGTGCCTTAGACTCGGAATTTGGATTTGTTGCCATTGGTGCCATCGACTGTCTGCAACCCTATCTTCCCCCGTTTTGTATTTTGGTGACTTTTAACCTAACTCAAGATCTCCACATTCTGAAAAATGAAAATATGGACTAGGGTACATCGATTGGTGAGGGTTTGTTGTCAATCAATGCCACGGGCACGGACCGTTTGGTTGTCAGTAGGTTTGGTCAGCCATTTAGTCCCTCCCTAAATGCCAGCACCCTGCGCCATGAACAACGCTCCGAGCGCTGTGGTGGGAAAGCGGCAGGTAAAATAGGTGAAATAGTGGCCATGTACGCTTTATTGGGTGGTTAGGTAGTTCCCATGGTGATTTAGTCGTATTTTATGCTTAAGAGAGGTGAAATCGCGAATGTTGTATGCTGTCAGAGATTTCTCACCCCTGAATCACAAGTTACGTGCGTTTGAACGAACTTAAATCAGCTACGGACCTTTGAAGTGGACTGCAAAGGCCTGATTCTGCGGTTGGCGCCCGGTTCGGCAGTATGAATCGCTCGTTGAGCTATGCTCCGACGTTAATACACCAAACACAAAGTTCATAACATATGCCATCAAAGACATGGCTTGTGTCCATAACTGTAGGGTTGATACAGATATCAATTTATTGTATGCGGGCCTGGCACCCTAGTCACTAGTGCATTAGTCATCCAGCATAGCAGTGACATCTGAGTAAGCAGTAGATCTCAGTCCTGAGTTTGATGGGAGGTCACCACCCCTTATACAACTTGAGTCACTACCACTTTCAGCACAAGTGAGACAGGGGCTGCCCAAGTGTGTGTGATTCCATGTGGAGGTCTGTATGCCCAGCAGTAGGGAATAGCACATACCATTCTATTACACACATTATGTTCAATAAGCTCACACATCCAGTAGTTACCATTCAGGATGCGTGAATTGCCCCAGGAGATGGGGTCTTATGCACAATCCCCTGGTTGCCTGGTCAGGTCTGCGAGTAAATCTACACAGTATGTTTGTTATATTTCCTTACAGCATCAATACACCAAAGCAAGCACAGATACAACTTGTTTTACAACCAGTGGTTATAACCAGTGACAATAAAACTACTGTAACAACCAGTGGTTTTGTTGCTAGACAGATCCATACACTGTTTCAGAAGCATGTGGTATGTTGCATCAATTGCCTTATAGGATGCTTATTACATGCTGCTGTACACCTCCACATCCACCAAAGCTGTACACAGTACATGGGTGTAAAGAAGGCTTGAAACAGTTACTGCCCACCAAAGCCATACACAGTACATGGGCGCAAAGAAGGCCAGAAACAGTTAGCAAACAGAGTCTCACGTCAGCTCAGCATGTAAAATCTCTATGGAAGGGAATTCCCGAGCATAAAATGGTCATTTTAGCTATCACAGAAGCTATGTAATGGTGAAATTTTGATGGAATAATGTTTGGAGAGGAGTTGACAGGTCAGTTGTAAGGGGTGCTGTTACGAGGCAAGACAAACAATATTTCAACATTTAGGTAGCTATGTTTAGCAAAAAGGCTTTGAGGCATTTGCCAGTTTGAGTGGTGTTTGTTGAGCTGTATCATATGTTTTGGTGCTGAGAATGAAGTAACCCAATTTTGCTTTCTTTCTGTGCCTTGCAAGGACCTTGAGAAAATAAATGCATGATCAATTTTCCAGTTAAAAATTCAATGCTGGCAGTAAAAGCATCTGGTTCAGGATAAATGTGAAATGACTTTTAAGTTGTTAGTTCCTCCCAGATTTTACTTATCATTGTTCATTGGTATTTCTTGACTGTAGCTAATGATGGTGGACACCAGGTTTGAGTAACTGCTCAATCCCTTTGATGTTAGTAAATGTCATATTTCCAACCTCTTCACATGTGTCTGATCTCTACCAGACCAAGTGGCCCACACCTGGCAGAGCATCTTGTAAAAGTGCATATGAAGGAATGAATACAATATCCTAATATATTATTTATATGAAACTGGAACATCATTTGCCAGACTCCTGCTAACAGCCTTCCCTGCCTGTTTTTACCAGCATGCCAGGCTGGCCCAGGCTGCAGTGGCAAACTTGCTGGCGTAGAGTGGAACTCATGCACAGTACTTACTGACATGGCAAGGAGTGGTCTTTCATGTCAGAATGTTGAGGGATGGCTCTCATGTCCATTCCCCTTTTGGTGACACTTTCCACTAATACCTTTATTTGTTCTTAATCTGGATAGCTAACAGCCTGTGTTAAGCCAAGCTCACCTCTGGTGTGGTGTGGTTTGTTTCCCCTACATTGAGCCAATGTGTATCAATTTTTAGATATTTTTGAGAATTTATAGGTATTTTGTGTAAGTGCTGTTCTGTTTGGAGTGTGTATTTCTTGTGTGATAAACTGACATACCTGTGTTGGTAATACTTTGTCAGCACTGTGCAAACAGCTGATGTTATGAGATGATTTATTACCACACATAAAGGGAAATGTGGTGAAAATCATATGTTTCAGCTTGTCATAGTTTTATCTACCTTTCAGCAACTGTGGTAGCTTTTGGTGTTTGGACTGTGACCCCCACCAATTAAATGACATATTTTTTTGCTGGGGAGATGTCCCACTCAGTATGGCTGGATTCCAACATTGTGATGCACAAGCTATGAAACATGACAACTTTTTAGCAGACTGAAGCTGAATGTCAAAGAAGTTTATGTCTGTTCTGACTTCTCATATCCACCAATGCTGTGCAAATATGTGTATGTTGTTTAGCCATTTTTCATTGATGACACTTAGCATTCTTGCAGATGGCTGCAATGGCTAAATGGAACAAGAAGCCTAGAGGTCATCTGAAAGATATTGGCTACAGTTCTGGAGACCATGGCTATGGACAGCTTGGCAGTGAGTATTTGCTGAGCAGAATTGTGGGACACTGTAGCTGATCAACAGCTGCAGTGTCTGCAGAATTGTTGGCTCATGGAAAGGTGAAGTGACTATGCAAACCATTGTCCTATTGTCTTGCAATATGAACTGCAGCATTCCACACAATTTCTTCTGTGTTTTGAATACTCCTAGCTAATGATAAGAACACAACCTATGAAATGAAAAGGACAACACAAGCACTTTGTCAGCTTAACTTATCTTAGCTCCACCAAAAGAGATGGAATCCTTTTCTCCTATGTCATCACATGGAAGTAGGTGCGAAATTGGGTGGGTGCATCCTGCAGTAGCAAGCAGACCATTGCAGTCAGCGTGCCATAAAACACCAAAGAACAAGAAACTTGTGTGGCATGAATCAAGCATTATTATTGTTATCAACATCTGATCTATGTCCATTTTTCTTTACAAGAGAGAGAGAGAGAGAGAGAGATATATATATATATATATATACATATATATATATATATATATATATATATATATATATATATATATATATATACTCTGTCTGACACCATCCTGTGCCATTCAGAGCCGACCTTCCAGCGGTACAACGCCACGCTGGGATGCTTCGAGGACGTGCCGTGCCCGGTGGATCTCGGCCTGCACGCTGCCGGACTGACGGGCGCGCCGCCCAAGAAGTCCCGCATCAAGGTGGTGGTGAAGCCGTACACGGACGAGGTACGCGGTTAGGCGCGCTCGCGCAGGGCTGTGTTGTAGGTGGGAGAAGGTGAGATCGTATAGGTAGAATGGGTTTGAGCTTTGGTTGTAAGTTAATTAGGGGTTTCTACCGTCGTTTTGAATCATTTCGCAGTCAGCTGGTAATGTGTTCAGTGGGAAGCTGGCGCACGCTGCAAATTAAGTCTCGTATTGCAAACCAGCCCAAGCAAGCTGAATCCCTTTGCTAAACACTATAAGCTTCTCATAATTTTGACATGTGATGCCCACGCGCTTTATGCGTATATGCCAGGACCCGATGGCCGTCGGTAACGTTTGGAGGCCGTAGGCAACTTTTACATCGCGCACGCTATGTAGTAAACGCGAACTGACTCATGTGATATGTGGCGCACGCACGCCCTCATTTAGTCGGCCGCGTCTGCTCCGCTCGGAACACCGAGCACCGCATCCGAACACGCGCGCGGGCGTCGTGAGGGCATGTGAGTGTTCCTCAGACCATGTCAGCGCCCCCCTCACACACGCCGCCGTCTGTCACCGGCAGACGGGGGCGGTGATCGCGCCTCCACCGGTGCCGCCGCCGCCGCCGCCGCTGCCGCAGCGCGTGGCTCGCTACGAGGAGGTCGTGGAGGAGGATGGCCAGGTGGTGGTGCACGTGCCGGACAGCGCGGCCGGTCCGGACGGCGTCATCCGCCTGCTGCAGGTGGAGAACGAGGACGGCACGGTGCACTACATCTCGGCGGAGCAGACAGGTGGGTGTCGGCGCCGCACGCCGTCTCAAAGCAACGTCACAAGGTCGCATGACTTCACCGTGGTGTGCATGTGTCAGTGGACGAGTCGGAATGCGGGATGGCTGTTTAGTTTCAAGCAAGAACATTGGAGGCTGATCTCCCTGGATCGAACTTTGCAATCTCAGGACCCAAATAAAGAAGACATTTCAGAGCACCTTGGCTACAGTTGTGAAGTTGTAACTTAATGCTTGCTTTCATGGCATTGAACGCATCAAGCGAATGTTACGGCCCTTCGTGGGGCTGTGAACGATGTGAGGGCTTAGGAGTTGGACAATACAGTTACTTTTCGGAGGCCATTGGTCGTGAGGGAATGAAAAGTGCTCAGCACGAAATTGATGATGTGTCTTCCGACGATGATCAAACGACTTATTGGACGAATTGTCTGTGGGACGGCCAAGTAGCTGCCACCTGGAAGATAAGCAGCTCAGAGTGGCTTCAAAAACTTGCAATACCTGCTTATTGTAGCCGTTCTGTCGTCTCGGCTGCCGTCGTAGGATGTCGAGAATCCCTCACGCCTGATTGGCGACACCTGTGACTGTCCACCGACCACGAAAGGATGGCCGCGAAGATACAGGACCAGCGCCGCGCCAGTCGGTCCCGTGCGCCGTGTCACCTGCTGTGACACGGCAGCCCCACGGGCAGCGCGTGACGAGCGGCTGCCGCCCTGCAGGCGCGGAGCAGGACTACACCGTGGAGGACGCCATGGAGATGATCCTGACCGAGGGCAACGCAGTGGTCGAGCAGGGCGTCGCCGACCAGCACATCGTCATTCAGAACGTGACCACCGAGGAGGCGCCGGACGCCGGCCAGGTGCGGCCGCCGCGCCGGGCACTCCTCAGTCCGCTCGAGGGCGGGATCTGAGTCACTGTGATTGGGAGGGGATGGACTCATCACGTACACCGATTATGGTGCATGGCGATTCGTTGTAAATATTTGTCGTCGCACGGGACGTAAGTTGAAGCGAGATGCCTTCGTTGTCGCGGATGGTGCGACACGGAGGCAATGCGCCAGTTCGGTACGGTGGCCCGGTTTGTCCGTTGATCCTTGCGTCGTTCTCGTGCTCGGGCGTCGTCCGTTTTGATCCGCTGCCTGTTGTCAACAACGTCATCCTCTGAGAATAATGCACTGGCGCAAACAGTGTCTTTACTAGGTTTCTGTCGTGCCCGCATTTGTACGCAGTGCCATAATCGGATCGTAGCCGTGTAAACGTGTCGTAAGTGACGCGCCGTAAGCCCAGGACGATGCGTTGCTAATGCACATAAGCGCATAAGTGCCTCTCGGGGCTTACGCCGTGACAATCCGCCGACCTGCAGGAGCCTGCGGAGCCGGAGCCGGAGACGGAGCCGGAGCCGGGGGCGGAACCGGATCCGGAGGCGGGGCCGGAGCCGGAGCTGGAGCTGAAGCTGGAGCCTGACCCGGAGCCTGGGCCCGAGCCGGAGCCGGAGGCGGGGGCGGAGCCGGAGGCGGAGGCGGAGGCGGTGCCGTCGGGCGCGTGCTACGTGTGCGGCGAGCGGCCGGCGCCGGAGCTGCTCGCCTCGCTCATGTCGGGCCGCACGCGCCACTCGGACACACCGCTGGCCGAGCTGCTGGCCGACACCGTGCAGCGCGAGCTGACCGTCAGCTCTGCTGACGGACTCTGTCCCGTCTGCGCCACGCTCGTCAACCAGTGCGACAAACCCAGTCCGCTGCAAGCGGTGAGAGGGCGAGGGGGTGTGACTTGAGGCGGTGCTGGGTGTGGTCGTGTGCTGCAGGTTTGAAGGGCTTTTGGTCGCCGATGTCGAGTTTTGTTTGTGCTGTCTTGTCCGTCTTCGTCTGCTCGTCGGCATACGGGTGCTCTCCATTCCGCTCGCTCTGTTGTTTGCTATCTGGTGCTGCGTTGAGCACCAGATGTTGTCACCAAACGGAGTGTATAGAAAATGCATTAGTACCATGAGAAGATATAGGTCGCTGATTTTGCCGTTTTAAGGTGCAATCGACGTTGTTCTTGATGATCATAGTTTCAAAAGTGTTTTTTTTTTAGAACTTCTGACATATGGTTTGGCTGCCCCTGTCGTGCCCTCCCTATGACTACGCACTATCTCCGTCACACGTCCCATGCGTCCGGAGCAATTGATTCTCCAGCGATGTGAGTCTCATTGTGACGAGGCCAATACCGGTATACGCCATCCCTTGGCGGCGCTGCCAGTTCTCGACTGTCGGTGTCGGCCGGCGCTGCCAGTTCCCGGGTGTCGGTGTCTGCTGACGCTGCCAGTTCTCGGCTGTCGGTGTCGGCCGGTGCTGCCAGTTTTCGACTGTCGGCGTTGGCCGGTGCTGCCAGTTCCCGGCTGTCCGTGTCGGCCGGTGCTGCCAGTTCTTGACTGTCCGTGTCGGCCGGTGCTGCCAGTTCTCGACTGTCGGTGTCGGCCGGTGCTGCCAGTTATTGACTGTCCGTGTCGGCCGGCGCTGCCAGTTCTCGGCTGTCGGTGTCGGCCGGCGCTGCCAGTTCCCGGCTGTCGGTGTCTGCTGACGCTGCCAGTTCTCGGCTGCCGGTGTCGGCCGGCGCTGCCAGTTCTCGGCTGTCGGTGTCGGCCGGCGCTGCCAGTTCCCGGCTGTCGGTGTCTGCTGACGCTGCCAGTTCTCGGCTGTCGGTGTCGGCCGGCGCTGCCAGTTCTGGGCTGTCGGTGTCGGCCGGCGCTGCCAGTTCCCGGCTGTCGGTGTCTGCTGACGCTGCCAGTTCTTGGCTGTCGGTGTCGGCCGGTGCTGCCAGTTTTCGACTGTCGGCGTTGGCCGGTGCTGCCAGTTCCCGGCTGTCCGTGTCGGCCAGTGCTGCCAGTTATTGACTGTCCGTGTCGGCCGGCGCTGCCAGTTCTTGGCTGTCGGTGTCGACCGGCGCTGCCAGTTCTCGGCTGTCGGTGTCGGCCGGTGCTGCCAGTTCCCAACTGTCGGTGTCGGCCGGCGCTGCCAGTTCTCGGCTGTCGGTGTCGGCCGGCGCTGCCAGTTCTCGACTGTCGGTGTCGGCCGGCGCTGCCAGTTCTCGACTGTCGATGTTGGCCGGCGCTGCCAGTTCTCGACTGCGTGCGCCGCTCAATTCCGCCGGTCTCCCTATCGTCAGAGCTTGCTGACACTGCTTGGCCCGTTATGAGAATCGCTAGTTGTGCCGCCACCTCCCGTGATCTCCCCTTGTGACGTCACCGGTCCGCTGTCCGCAGTCGGCGTCGCAACACCTCCGCAACATCGTAGCGGCGCGGCTGGGAGAGACAGGCCACGGCCGCGGCGTCTCTAGGCGCAAACGAGGCCGTGAGTTGGGCCGGCGCGCCGCCGCCGACCAGGCCGCGGGCTGGACGGCTGGCTGGTGACAGAGTGTGGGGTAGTGCGGCCCTCTCGGTGGTGTGCTTCCTAAAGAGGGGGTTTGGTGGCCGCAGCCGGGTGCCTATGCTGGATATCCTTAAAAAGAAGTTGGTCTTGTCCGCTAGATAGATTGTCATGTACATGTTGAGGTGTACTGCAATTGAGTTCATTAGCCTCGTATCATAAGTAACCTTTGTTAAAGCGCAGAGTTCTCATGTGCTGCACTTTCCAATGTTACCGTATGGCAAGTATTTGTGATGGAGATCAATCTCGGTGATGCGTGACTTCGCGTGGAAAATCCAATCGAGCTTCCCCGCATTAGTTGCTTTACATCATCCGTCTCGGGAAGCGCCTTCGCTATGCCCCGGGTTGCCGGCTGCGCCTTTACGCACCACTGCCACTAACACCGCGCACCGCCGCTGGTCGGTTATGAGTGCGACGCCGGCTTCCGTCCATTGTGTTCCTGCTGCGCAGCAACCGTTGTGCCCGGTGGCAGCGCTACTAATCGCTGTGATTACTTGTGCTGAGCCTTGTTCCGCCTGACGACCGTCGCGTGCCCCGGCTCAGGGCCGCTGGCGAAGAAGGAGCCGGCCTACCCGAGTCCGTGGGCCAACTTCGGCACGGACGTGGTGCAGGAGGAGTGGACGCCGGTGCTGGACGTGCGCCACGGCAGCAGCCGTCCGCGCCCGCCGCGCACCTGGGCCTCGGACGACGAGCAGGCGCCGTCGGTCAGTGGAGTCGGCGGCCGGCGACGCGGGCGGCGTAGTAGCGGAGCTTGTGCGGGGGGGGGGGGGAGGGACGTGCGAAGGGGGGTACCGTCCGTCGGTGGTCGGGAGTGGTGTTCGCTTCAGCGGTTGATGATCTGTGGGACAAGTGCCGGCTGTGAAACCATTTTTCTTGTTTGAGAACACGTGTCCGCTGGTGTGAAATAGCGGTGACGTCTGAAATCGGCGCCCCGGCCTTATTTCGCACCATAATCTTTCTGGGAAGAAAGTCCGACGCCAGAGCGCACGAACGCTGACCTGTCGATGCGCGTGTCCTGCATTAAACTGTCTGTCTGGTTTGCCGGCACCAAGCTGTCTGTCGCGTCCGACGCGAGCGTGTCCGCGTCTGGCCGCCTCTGACCTCGCCCCTCTCCCCCCTATTACCGCCGTCCTGCCGCAGCTGGAGCAGCTGACAGACCTGACCGTGCCGTCCGAGACCAAGCGGTCGGCGCGCATCGCCATCAGACGCAACGCCTACGTGGCGACGGCTGTGCACGCCACGAGCCGGCCTCCCCGGGTCATCGTCATCCCTGACATGGTGAGACGGCCGCTGCCCCCCTCCCCCCCCCCCCCCCCACAGGCAGCACGCTCGGCTGACGCGTGCTGCGAAGTGGCTGCAGCCGTCGTCTTTGTACATTATCTCTCCACATGTCACAGCCTAGGTGAGCCTTGCACCAGCCGCAGTCTGGCTATTGTTAGCAGTTGTGTACTTGGGAGCTGGCGTTAGCACACGTTGTGCAGAGAATTCGCACGTGTCATCACGATCTGGTGGGTGCGCGACTCTGCGTGCGGTGTGGAACGCACAAGCAAGTTCACTAGACCTTTCTTGACTTTGAGGATAGCGATACGGCAGAGCCGAGGCGTGTGGCAGCGCTGATCGCCGACACGCTCCGTTTCAGCAAGCCAAGTACCGGGCGGATCCGAACCGGCCTCCGCGGCGCACCTACCACCGCTCGGAGCGGGGCAAGGCCAAGGGACGCCGCGGCCGGCCCAAGCTGCCCAACCCGCCCGAGGTACGGGTGCCCAGTGCGCGCGCGCCGCGGCAGTCGCCGGTGACGAGGGAGGGTAACGCCCGCCCACTGCCAGATAGTCATGGTCCACCCGACAGCTGCACGCTGACTGTCACACGCTGAGCAGTCTGTACGCCCGCCGTGACGTGTCAGGCGTCACACGCTCGCTGTGACGTGTCAGGCGTCACCCGCTCGCTGTGATGATGTGTCCGTGTCAGGCGTCACACGCTCGCTGTGACGTGTCAGGCGTCACACGCTCACTGTGACGTGTCAAGCGTCACACGCTCACTGTGACGTGTCAGGCGTCACACGCTCACTGTGACGTGTCAGGTGTCGCACGCTCACTGTGACGTGCCAGGCGTCACATGCTCACTGTGACGTCAGGCGTCACATGCTCACTGTGACGTGTCAGGTGTCGCACGCTCACTGTGACGTGTCAGGTGTCGCACGCTCGCTGTGACGTGCCAGGCGTCACGCGCCGAGTGCGACGACGCACCGCCCAGCCACTGGGCGGTGTGTCCGTCTTCATATGGTAACCCACACAGGCACACACGTGGTCAAACGTCCCCTGGATTCGGGCTTGTCTGGACTAGCCAGTCCCCTGTCCACCCCAATGCAGAAACTAGCTGCGTCACCGCTTGGCAATCTCCCAGTGTTTTTCGTTATTTGCGATGCCTTTAGTCTGGTTATGTTGTTGATCATAACTTAGTTCCTGGGCTTGCGGAGTGTGGTTTGTAGATTTTCATGTTTAGCTGTGATGTTATGCGTTGCGCAACATGCCCGTCTAAGATTGGCTTTGTGCGGAATTATCGGAACTGCGAAGCATAAAGGTTTTAATGCGGTTAATCTTATAATATATACACTACGCTACTTTGTACACAGTTACCTATGTGACAAAATCATTGATCTTTATATTCATTGGATGTCTCCAGAACCAGCCGATCCAAGTTGTAGAGGTGTCTTCAGACAAGCCGCCAGGCATGGATGGCGACGGCGCCCCGGACCAGGAGCGGGTCCCAGAGGAACACCCGCCCGCCGCGTCGCAGGGTAATACCTTATCTGGGTGCCTGCTGTCGGTGAACTGTGGGCCTGACCCCGCGGCACGTTCCTGAAGACTTCTGGCTAGACGCCGCTCGCGAGTCGCCTCAGGGGAGAGTCCGGGTAGTGAGCGCGGGCGGTCGCTGACCCGTGTCCCATGTCGTTTTCCCGTCAGATAATCTGGCCCTTGTCTTAAGGCTGACCCGTTGCTACAGTCTGACCCGTGGCTCCTGGGGTGTCGATAGTGTAGTGGTTAACAAGTCTGCGTTAATCGCTACACGTCTGGAAACCAGAGGTACGGGGTGCGACTCTCCAGGGTGCCTGCGCTTCCTGCCAGAGTGAGAGCCAAGCGATGCCATATAGCGTCCCCAGCTGGGCGCGTCGGAAAGCCCCAACGACGTCGCCGACGACGACCCGTGACTCCGCACTAATCGCGACCTCCGCTCGCCGCCAGCCGACCAGGAGACGGGACCGGTCCACACGGACGCCGCAGAGGCGAACGACGATAGCGGCGACGACGAGGACGGGCCACCACGGACGGCTGACCCGGACTGTCCGTGCATCATGTGCGCGGAGCTGACAGCGGAGCAGCGGCAGCAGCTGGCTGCGGCCACCGAGTTCAGTGTCGTCTACGTCTGCCAGATCTGCCACCAGGAGATGACGGGCCGCAGCAAGTTCCGGGAGCACGAGCGGCGCTGCAAACTGCGACGGCTGAGTGAGTGGCTGCCGGTGCCAGCTGACGTCCCCGCTACTTGGCAGGTTCTCCTGTCGCGGCGGCGTCGGCCTAACGGCATTGTCTGCTCTCGTTTGCTCCGCCGGGCCTGCTTTTCAGCCGGTCGTGCCGACATGCATTCCACGCTCGACCGGAGTTCCCGGTGCTGTTTTATCCCCGGAGTCCCTACTCCCCGGCATAGTTGTTGGGATTGTGTTTAATTGTTCGGGGAAGGACTTTAATTTGGCTTTCTGTCGTGCTGCCGTCGTGAGCGGTGGTTTTAAACGGTTCCTACGCACAAAGTCGTAGGCTGGCGACAGGCATTGCACTTGTTGATCCAAAAGGCGGCCATTGAAGGCATGTATTTTATTGTCACTATGTGCTGTTCAGGATACTTAAGATGAACAGCTGGAGGAACTTCTGAGCGTTCAAAACGCGTGGGAATCGTGTTGAAAAGCTGAAAAAGACCCAGCATCGTAATCGGATTGCGTTTTGGCTCCCATGGCACTGTGTCCATCACAGGACACTCATTATTTTACAACTGACGTCTTGCGTCAAACACAACTTTTCGTTGTAATCTTTTTAACACGAGCCCGGGTGACTGGTTGCATGCGGCGCCGCCCGGCTAGCGGCCGGGGTGGGGTCAGTATGACCCCTAATATCTCAAATATTTTGAGAGTTAGAGCTCCAAATTCGCAAGATGCGTAGGCTTGTGCCTGAACTCACCTGGTTCAAATTTTGAAGTTAAATAAGGTCAAGCTCCAGATTAATGTCCTATGTTCCCTCAGACCTACTTATGCAACTACATTTAACCTGCATATCTCTACTAAGCTAATGGTTACCAGTGTTCATTTCCGGGCAGTGACCGTAGTTGATCTTCAGAAAGCGACAGTGGCTAAAAACCTGCGAGATTGCTTTAGTTTTGAATTTCAAAAATCGTCATGAATTGCGCTATGCGGTACGCGGCTAAAAACGAAAGGTTGCTAGGTGTCTTTCTGGGTCACTGACCACTTCTTACTTGAAATGACACATGTGTTGGCCTTCCTGTGATCAAGAAATTGGAAATGAACGTCAAAAAGTACATCTCAAAGCAAGGTGTCTAGGAAAATACAATTCGGCTTTGGCCTCTGCCTTCCCATCCTACCTTACCCAAGAGTATTGCAGTTAGTCGTAATACTAACTTAACTTGTCTAGAGTTCAAGGAAACCGCCTCAAAGATGTATGGCTTCGTGTAACACTCCGCTGTTGCACCACATTGAACGATTCCCTAGGAAATGCCTTCGCTGAAGCCATGGCCTGACTTTGACTTGCCGTGGATCAACGACCGTACAAGATGCATGTAAGATCTGAAGCGAAAAGATCGGCTATGTGATCGGTTACAGCTCTGCAAAGTTTGGCACGGCTCCGCTGCGCTGCTCAGAAATTATTCTGAAAAACCTGCGGGGTCAAATTGTCGCCTCGCCCGATCGTGTGTTAAACGACAAGGTACCGTGGCGGGTTGCGGGTTTCCTGGATGAGGCATGTCACATCGATTAATGGAGAAGGCCGAAAAGAACGAGAAATTTCGTCTGGTGTTACAGACGGCGAGGGTGACCGATGCTGGCACAGTTAAGGCAGCACGTCGGACATCGGGGTTAGTTGAAACATTACTTGCAGTCTGCGTGAAGGCCTCCTAGATGTAAAGCAAGGTGTGTGATGAATTAAGTAAGCCCCATTAAAGGATAAGGCAACCACAGACTAGTCTGCGCGTGAATTTGAAGCAAAGACGAAGAGTTCAGGGAAGAAAGACACTTCCGAAAAAAACGCATCCAAATCTTTAGCCCTAGTTCTTTTTTGGTAAGGGGATATTCCGAGATGTGCTGAAAAATTATGTTGTCTACTCACTCACCACGCAGAAGCTGATCAGCGGCGAAAATCCATATACCTCTCTTCCTCGTTTCTTCGTCGTCTTCTCGCCTGCCGTGTTTATCCGCCCCAGGTCAGCGAGGAATTACCTAAATTTGTACTAGGGCTCAATGGTCCACGGCTCCACGAAGCACAAGTTCAGAAGAACTTACTTACCTGACACGCATCGCCGGCTAAAGAGACTGTGATTTGGTGTGGGAACATGGAATGGCCGCTGACATAGCTGGGGACATTTTGCTTTGCAGTACGAGAAATCGAAGACATTGCTGAGCGCATTTCTCCCTTGATATATAGCACGCCGTGACT